CGAAGGCGACGCCCGCCGCCTCGGCGCAGGCCCAGGCAGCCCATGCCAGGAGACGCATCATCGCTTCGAAGCTCCGCGTTGAACGTTCAATAACGCAGGCAAAACTTCAAGTTGCAGTGCTCCAGGCCTTGCCACAAGCTCTCGCAGCCCTCGACGTCGTCGTACGCGCCGTGATGAAGAGCTTGCGGGCCCAGCTCGCAGCCTGCCTGCTCGCCGCCGGCGCCGGCGCCTGGATCGCGCCGTCGGCGCCGAGAAGACTTCATGCGGCCCGCGCGCACGTCGACGACGTCGTCGAGGCGCTCTTCGTCGAGAGCTCCGTCGTGGACCCGGCCCAGGTCGCCGCCGCCTGCGCCGAGGACGTCGTCTGGGACGATCGCTGCCGGCGCAAGCCCGCGCGAGGCCGCAGGGCCGTCGAGCGCATGCTCCGGGGCAAGTTCCGCAGGGGCGGCAAACTGGTCGTCGAGCGCGTCGCCGAGGCGGGCGAGGGCTCGCGGCTCGCGGGCTTCGCGTGGCGGCGCGAGGCCGACGACCTGCCCGGGGTCGGCGGCCTGCGCGGCGTGACGCTCGTCGAGTGCGACGACAGCGGAGAGATCGCGTCCGTCGTCGAGTCGAGCGAGCCGCTGCTGAAGCCGGGCAAGCTCACGGCCGACCTCTTCGCCAAGGTCTGCGCGGGGCTCCCGAAGATCACGAGCGGCGCGCATGTGCCGCGCGCGGTCGCGGGCTGCGGCGACCTGGTGGAGTACATCTGGCGCGAGGCCTACCCCGCGGGCGCGCCGCCGGCGGTCTTCGCGGAGCACTGCGGCGAGGGCATCATCTGCGAGGACCTCAACTACCGCGAGCCCTTCCTGGGCAAGCCCGCGGTCGAGGCCATGGTCGAGGAGTACGACCTCGGCGGCGTCGAGTGGATCCTCACGCGGGCGACGACGGGCGCGCGGAGCTGCGCGTTCACGTGGCAGATCAAGCTCAAGGGCGAGGTCGCGGCCGACGGCGTCTCCTTCTACGACGGCTACCCGGTCCAGTACATCCGCGACATCCCCTCGCCCCTCGTGAAGCCCGCGCCGCTCCAACTTCTCGCCGCGCGGCTCCGCCCGAAGCTGCGCGTCTTCCGGGGCCGGCGGGCCCACTGGTGCTACGGCGACTCCGAGGAGGGCCGCCCGCTCGAGCTGGCCTGCGACGTGTCCTATAACTAGCCTCAATGCTGCTGCGCCGACTCGGAAGTCCTTTTATTGCGACGACCTGGGCTCCCGGATCATGGCCCAGTTGCGGAAGTCGCCGACGGGGCAGATCTCGTCCGCGACGACCTCGAAGCCGAGTTTTGCGTAGAAGCGCACGTTGCGCTCCTCCTGCGTGAACAACAGCACGGCGAGCTTCTCAGCGTCGGCCTCGCGCATGGCCGCGGCGAGCGCCGCCGAGCCGACGCCGCGGCCCTGGCGCGCCGGGAGCACCGTCACGCGCTCGAGCTTCGCGATCTCCCGGTCCCCGACGATCTCGCGCTCCTTGGCCTCGAACCAGCTCTTGAGCCGGAGGAGCCGCGCCGTCGCGCCGAGGCCGAAGCGGAACGGGAAGCCGAGGAAGCCCCAGCGCACGAGCACGAGCAGCGTCGGGGTCGGGGTGTTCGGCCGCTCGAAGAGGTAGAATCCAATGATTTCGCCGTCGTCCTCGACGACGCGCGCGACGCCGTGCTCCAGCGCGAACTGGTAGTTGCGCTCGAAGAGCCAGGCGAGAAATTGCTTTCTGGCGTCGTCGTCGGGCACGATTGCTGCGTAGGAGCTCGTGTTATGGAACGCAGCGGCGGAGAGCGACACTGCGGCCGCGAGGTCGTTTTGAAGCAGCGGTCGCGTGTGCTGCATTTTTGCCTGTTGGTTTGTGACAATGGCAATGCAGTGATCAGCGGATGCACTGCAGCGCGTCGCGGCGCAGACGACGAGGGTGATCAGCGATGCACTGCAGCGGCGCGCAGCCGACGAGGTGCGGCGGCGCCGAGAAGCCGCATGAGCCAATGATGATGATGCAATGGTGCTGCTATGTTGCCATCTCGTCCTGTATTCCCATACCCGGGCAGCCTCCGTCTTCGTCGCAGCCATCGGCGGTTCCGCGTCGTCGAGGCCAACGATGGCGAGCGGCTTCGAGGACATCGTCGTCGGCGTCGCCGGGACGGGCATGATGGGGCAGGCGCACGCGTACCGCTGGAGCAAGGAGGGCCTCAAGGTCGTCGTCGGCAGCCGGGACCCGAAGCGCGCGGAGGCCCTCGCGACGAAGCTCGGCGCCGGCGTCGAGGGCGGCTCGCACGCGGACATGCTCGCGAAGGCCAACTTCGTCTTCCTCTGCACGCCGCCGGGCAAGTGCCTGAGCGACTTCTTCGAGGCCCACGGCGCCGCGATCAAGGGCCGGGGCCTATGCTTCGTCGACCTCTCCGTGGCCTTCAGCCGCTACGGGTCTCCCGCGGTCCAGCCGCCGGCGCCGTTTTTCTCGACGATCGAATGGCTCAAGTCGCTCCTCGACGACCCGTCGACGTGCTTCGTGAAGGCCTGGGCCAATCTCATGGCCCAGTCCATCTCGAAGAACCGCAAGCAGCCCGTGGAGGTCGCGGGCGACGACAAGGCCAAGGAGATCGCGTTCCGGCTCCTGAACAAGGTCGGCTTCACGCCCTGCGACTGCGGCGGCTGCGCGGACGTCCCCAAGATCGAGCCCGGGTTCCACGAGCGCCGCTGGAAGCACCCGACGCACCTCGCCTTCAACGGCGCGAACCACCCCTAAGGCGACCCTCTAATCTAGGGGCCCAGGGCATTGCTGTCGGCGGCGCTCACGACACCGACTGAGGCTCGCTGTAGGCGTCTGGAGGATCGCGATTGGAGATTTCGAGCCAGCTCGAGCTGTGAGTTTCACATTCTCGGATCTGCCGCAGCGGCGCCTCGGCTTCGCGAGCTCGGCAGAAGAAGGCGCTCCGAGCATGGCTCCGTCGGCCCTCGGCGCCCTCGTCGCCTTCTCGGCGGTCCTCACGACCTACTCCTACTGTTCGCCCGGCGACGCCTGTTGGCCCGACGAGGCGGCGTGGGCGGGGCTCGAGGCCTCGCTCGAGGGCGACCTCTACGCCGTCGACGCCTCCAAGGACTACGACGAGTGTGAGAAGTGCGATTCGGACGCGTATTGCATCTCCGCGGCGGCGCACGGCATCTGCATGCACGCGCACGCGTGCGCGCACGAGTTCTGCCAGGAGCAGGCGGACTGGGACGTCGGCGACCACGTCGTCGCCGTCGCGTCCGCGGCGGACGTGTCGGCCGCGCTCGCCTTCGCGAACGCGCACGATCTGGCGGTCTCCGTGAAGACGACCGGCCATTCTTACACCGGGTCCTCGACGGCGAAGGGGTCGCTCCTCGTCTGGACGCGCGGGCTGCCGACGCTCGGCGCCGTGACCGAGGGCGCCTGGACGGGCTCGTCGTGCGGCGACGCCGTCGACGCCGCGGCGACGCTCGAGATCGGCGGCGGCGCGACCTGGAGCGACGCCTACGCGGCGGTCGGCAACGACTAGCGCGAAGCCCGCGTCCGTGTTTTGCGTCCGTTTAGTGATTTGATTGTTTCTTTCGTAGCCACGTCGTCGGCGGCGGCGGTCTCACGGTGTCCGCGGCGGGCGGCTGGCTCCAGGGCGGCGGCCTGTCGTCGACGGCGCGGAAGTACGGCCTCGGCGTCGACAACGTGCTCCGCTTCGACGTCGTCCTCGCCGACGGCCGCGCCGTCGTCGCGGACGCGTGCTCCGAGCCCGAGCTCTTCTGGGCCCTCCGCGGCGGCGGCGGCGGCACCTTCGGCGTCGTCACGTCGGTAATCTACAAGCTCCACGAGCGTGAGACCATCGTGACCCTCGACTTCCACCTGAACACGTGGGGCGCGTTCTGGCCGGAGCAGCGCGAGAGCTTCGTCAAGTTCTGGATCCAAGAAGCCCCCACGCTCGACAATCGCTGGGGAGGCTACTGGTCGCCCTACTCTTTGAACCTGCAGTTCGTCGGATCCCGCGCCGACGCCGACGCGACGTTCCTCGACGCCTTCGACGACTGGCAGAAGGAAAACGAGGGCTGGCTCGAGTGGTGGGTCTACGACGTAGACGAGGAACGGAGCTACTTCGACTACCGAGGCGGCGAGGACGCGATGGGGAATCCCGAGTACACCGACGCGACGGGCAGCGGCTACGAGGGCCTCAACCTCGCGTCGAGGCTCGTGCCGACGTCGTACGCCGAAGAGCGCCCCGACGACCTCCGGCGCTTGTTGATCGACCTGGTGGAGCGCAGCGGCATCGGCGGTATCTCTTACTTCTTAGGAGGCGTGACGGCCGAGGTCGGCGCGGACGAGACGAGTGTGCATCCCGCGCAGCGGACCGCTATCTTCAACATCATGTCGACGAACGACGAAGCGCACGATATGGTGCGCGAGGCCCTGCCCAACGCGGACGGCAACGGCGTCTGCTTCAACCACCACGCGACGCTCGAGCCGGACTGGCGGAACGCCGCGTTCGGCGCCAACTACGACCGGCTGCTCGCGGCGAAGGACACGTACGATCCGGACCGCCGGTTCAACTGCTGGCACTGCGTCGGCTACCGCGGAGCCGAGATGGAGCAGGGCGACGAGGACTCGTGGACGCCCGAGCCGACGCCCGAGCCGGAACCCGAGCCCGAGCCGGAACCCGAACCTGAGCCCGAGCCCGAGCCGGAACCTGAACCCGAGCCGGAACCCGAGCCAGAACCCGCGGAGGCCGACGGCGCCCCCGGCCGCGCGGTCGCCGCCGCCGCGATCCTCGGCTCGGCCGCGCTCTTCCTCGTCGTCTGAACGCAAGCACAAACCCTTCCCCCACCTGCGCAAGAAAAGCGAATTGGTTAGTCCATAGAAAATCCGTCGATTATCCGACGACGTTCTCCGGGCTGAGCCTAGGCGGGGGGAAAGGGAGAGGCATGGTCTACACTTGCCAGGGCCCTTTACAACGGCGCCGCGCCGGCGAGGTCCTCCTCCGGTACGATGGACGCGTAGTGGGACTCGGCCCAGAAGGCGAGCCAGATGGTGGGCGGCGCGGTCGGCGGCGTCCGATGCTGCGGCGTCGCCTGCGGCGGCGGCGGCGGCGGCGACGATTCCAGAGCGCTCAAGACGTGGGCGACCTCCGCGTCGAATTCCCGGGGCCCCAGCGACCGCGGCGGCGGCGCGGACGGGACGGGCGGCGCCTCCGGCTGCGGAGCCTCCAGCCGCGCGCGCGGCTCGACGCGGAAGATGCCCCGCTCGTTGTAGGACGTCACGAGGCACACGACGATGCCGTAGACGTCCGCGGCGGCCTGGAGCGTCACGGCGTCGCCCCACTCGCCGTCGTTGCCCATGCGGCGCACGAAGCTCTCGAAGTCGGCGTCTTCGGCGTCCTCGACCATGCAGAACTCGGCGTACCGCTCGGGCTCGAGGGTGAGCTGGCCGACGACGCGCTTCCGGACGGCGTCGTGGCGCTCGTCGTTGCCGCAGAGCTGGTGGGCGATGGCGCGGAACTGGCAGTTGCCGTCCGACGCGACGGCGTGTTCCCGGAGCCCAAAGTCCTGGAGGCGGTCGCGCAGCCTCTTTCGCTCGACGCCGAGGCTCTCGCTCCCGTCGCTGGAGCACCGGCTCGGGGTCGAGGGGGAGGCGTCCCCGTGCAGCAGTTCCGCGGACTCGAGCGCGCGCTTCAGGACCGTCGAGCGCTCGTAGGTCCGCATCGGCCGGACGTGGGCGTCGCCCTCCAAGAGCGGCGCGTGGTCCCAGGCGCCTTTGGTGCGCAGCCGCGGCGTCGAGGCGTCGAGACTCGCCACGATGTCTTTGAAGCTCGGCCGGACCGACGCGTCGTGCGCCCAGCAGGCGGTCATGAGCGCGCGGACGTCCCCCGGCATCGACGGCGGCGCCTCCGGCCGCAGCCGCTGAACGACCTTGAAAATAACCTGCGGGGGCGAGAGGCCCTCCCACGGATAGCCCCGCGTCCAGATCTCGTAGAGCACCATGGCGTAGGAGTAGACGTCGCACCTTCGTGGAAGGCCTCGCCGTTCAGGTACTCCGGCGCCATGAACGCGGGCGTGCCGCAGAGCCCGGCCGTCGCGCGCGTCGCCGCGAGGTCGTCGCACTTGCTCAGGCCGAAGTCGCAGACTTTCCCGCGGCCGTCGTGGGTCAGGAGGCAGTTGAGGCTCTTGAGGTCCCGGTGCTCGATGCGCGACCGATACAAGTAGGCCATGCCGCGCGCGACGTCCGCGGACCAGACGCGCTGGCGCTCCGCGTCGATGGCGCCATCGGCGTCGAGCGCGTCCCGCAGCGAGCCGCCCGGCAGGTATTCGAGGACGAGCCCGAGGTACGTCGGGTCGGTGGTGACGACGCCGAGGACCGCGACGATCCGCGGCGACCGGAGCCGGACCATGATCGCGAGCTCCCTGGAGAACTGGGAGAACATCCGCTGGCGGTCCGCCGCCGTCACGCCCAGTTGCGACATTTTCTTCAAGCAGACCGCCTCGCCCTGGTACTCGGCGAGATGCACGGTGCCCTGGCCGCCTCGCGCGAACGGCTCGTCCTCGACGTCGCGCAGCTCGACCTCGAATTCGGCGATGGTGCAGCTCGACGCCCGCGGCCTCGCGCCGTAGGATTCGATGTCCTTCGTCTCCTCCGTCTTGAGGATCTCCAGCGCTGTCGCCTCATCCTCGAAAACCTCTTGCTTCTCGGCGTCTCTTCGTCGCCTCACGACGACGAGCGCGACGACTGCAAAGAGCGCGCACGCTGCCGCGGCGGCACCGCTGCCGATGGTCGCCGCGTCCGTGTCTGCGCTGGAAGAGCTCGTCCCGGATTCCGTTGCGTCCGTCGCCGTCGGCGCGGCGCTCGGCGGCCGCGTCCGGGTCTCCCGCGTCGTCTCCACCGTCGACTCGGTCTCGATGAGCGCCACGGACGCGTCGACGTCGACCGTCGCGTCGAGGTCCAGCGCGTCGCCGAAGGCGCCCGACGCGACGGCGTCGCTGAGCTCGTCGACGTAGCCGTCGTTGAGCGCCGCGGCTTTCTCGTCGTCCGTGGCCACAAAGGCGACGGTGAAGTCGACGCGCGCGGCCGCCTCGGACAGCCGGCGCCGGCGCCGCGCGGCCGCGACGCCGTCGACCGTGACGTCGTCCGCCGACGGCACGAGGGGCACGGACGCGGCGACGGCCTCGGCGAACGCGGCGACGGCCGCCGCGTCCGACGCGAACGTCGCGGCGTCCACTCCCGTCAGGACGACGCTCGACGAGCTCGCGACGACGACGACCTCCGCGAGGAAGGCCGTCGGGGCGCGCGTCGGCCGGGGCGTCGGTTCCGGGGTCGGCGCGGGGGTGCCTTCGGGCGCCACGGCGCCCAGCGCGGTCGTCGGCGCCGCGAGGGGCGCGAGCGTCGGCGCGGCGGGCGCGTGGGGGCTTTGCGACGGCGCGGGCGTCGGCTCGGGCGACGGCGCGGGCGTGTAGCTCACCTGGAAGTCGCGGGAGTCGGCGATCGTCGCGTCGTCCGTGCAGGCGATGGTCACCGTGTAGGCGTCGGCGTTGATGTCGGCGAGCACCTCGGACTTCGCGGCGCCGTCGTTCGCCGTCGTCCGCGAGTAGGTCTCGACGCCGGCGGAGCTCACGGCGGAGACAGCGACCGTCGCGCAGGCGTCGGCGTCGCCGCGGTAGTCCCAGCGCAGCTCGCAGCGCGTCTCGGCCACGCAGGTCCAGCCGTCGCCAAAGGCCGTGATGCGCAGAAAGGACGCCGTCGGCGCGAACGTCGGCGCGAACGTCGGCTCGGCCGTCGGCGCGGGCGTCGGCTCGGGCGTGGGCTCCGGCGACGGCCCGAGCGTGGGCTCCGGGGTCGGTTCGGGCGTGGGCTCCGCGGACGGGTCGGGCGTCGGCCCGGGCGTCGGGTCTGGGGAGGGGGCGGGCGTGGGCTCCGGGGTAGGCTCCGGCGTCGTCGGCTTTGGCGACGGCTTGGGCGTCGGCTGGGCCGACGGCTTGGGCGTCGGCCTTTGCGAAGGCTTGGGCGTCGGTCTGGGCGTCGCCTCCGCGGTCGGCTTTGGCGTCGGCTTCGGCGTCGGGTCCGCGGGCTCCGGCGTCGGCTCCGGAGTCGGCTCGGGCGTCGGCTCGGGCGACGGCTCCGGGGTCGGCTCCGGCGACGGCTCCGGCGACGGCTCCGGCGTCGGGTCCGCCACAGTCGGCCTGGGCGTCGGGTCCGCAGGCTCCGGGGTCGGCTCTCGGGACGGCTCGGGCGTCGGCTCCGGCGTCGGCTCCGAAGACGGCGCTCGGGTCGGCGCGTGGCACTCGTAGCCGTCGTTGCAATCGCAGTTGTCCGTGCCAAAGTCGCAGTTGTCGTCCTCGTCGCAAACGCCGTCGTAGGCGTACTGGCACGAGTTGCCGCCCTCGCCCTCGCAGTCGGCGACGTCCGTGCCGTAGGCACAGAACTCACCCTCGTCGCACTCGCCGTCGTCGGTCCAGTCGCACGTCTCGTCGTCGCCCTCGTAGATGCTGTCGAAGCTGAGCCAGGACTCGATCACATTTTCTTCGTACCACCCGTTCCACCTGTCCCTCCACGTCGCGTCGCACAGTTCCCCGTTGCAGTCGCACAGGCCCTCGTCGTCGCAGTCGCAGTGGTTTACGCACCAGCCGTCCGGGTCCGGGTCCTGGTCCCAGGGCGTGCCGCAGCAGAAGTCGACGTCGCAGACGTAGTTGTCGTCGTCGTCGACGCCGCAGTAGATGCCCTCGTCCGCGCAGTACGGCACGTCGTCGTCGCTCTCGTCCTCGCTCTCGTCGGCGTCCTCGTCGTCGCTCTCGTCCTCGCTCTCGTCGGCGTCCTCGTCGTCCCAGGAGCCATCGTCATAGTTGTCCCAGTAGCCGTCGTCAAAGTCGTCGTTGTGGTTCAGCTGCCGCCGCGCCGGCAGCGCGCGCACGCGCTCCGCGGCCGCGCGCTGGGGCCCGGCCGCGCAGAGGAGCAGCCTCAGGGCTGCCATCCTCTTTTCCCTTTGAACTAATTGATTTCTATCCTGATACAATGAAGATTGGAAATCAAAATTAGGACGAAAGCACGCGGACGTCCGGCGAGACACGCGATGGACATGTAATCAGCGCGGACCGCGCCCCCCGATTATATCGTCGGGTGGATCTCCGGCTACACTACGAATTGTTTTTTAGTCCATCGAAAATCCGACGACGTTCTCCGGGTTGAGCGCGATGTCGAACGCCGCGGCGAGGGCCGCCTTGGACGTGAAGAGCGGGATGTCGATGCGGTTGAAGCACGTGTGGCTGCGTGGATAGACCGCGCTCGAGAGGTCGACGCTCGTCAGCGTGAAGGGCCGCCGCGCCCCGTCTCTCCCCATCAAGTGGTCGAAGCCCTGCACGGGCACGCGGCTCGTGCCCGTGCACCACTGGAGCAGCAGCGCGAGCCGGTCGTCGTCCCAGGTCTCCACGGTCTCCCAGAACCAGGCGACGACCTCGTGCGCCTCCCTCTCCCGGGCGAAGGCGCCCTTGTAGACCGTGGACCGCCTCCAGTCGGCCACGTCGATGTCCGGGTGGCCGCAGAGCGCGAGCTCCAACTCCCGCGCCGACAGCAGCATGCAGAGCTCCTTGGGCGCCACGGCGAAGACGCCCCCCAGAAAGGCCCGCAAGCCCCCGGCGCAGACGTCGAAGACGCGCTCGCGCAAACGCGCGGCGAGGAACGCGTCGACGTTCGTCCCGTCGACCTCGAGGTCCCGGCCGCCGGGGACGAGGTCCTTGGTGACGACGGCGCCGAAGCTGATGTGCTCGATGGAGAACGTGAGGCAGAGCGTCTCGACGAGCTCCGGGTCCATGGTCCGCAGCTGGTCGAGGCTCTTGAACAGCTCTTTGTCCACTAATTCCAGATCGCCGAGGGCCACGGGCTCGGACGCGATGTGCTTGAGGATGACCATGTTCAGGTGCGCGTTCGCGAAGTGGTGGCCCTCGAGCAGGGCCTTGCCCAGCAGCTTGCCCGCGAACGCGAACCACGCCGCCGCGTCCGCCATGACGAGGTCCGCGTCGTCGTCGTCGGCGATCTGGTACGTCAGGTTCTCCGACGACCCGACCTTGAACAGGCCCAGGTTCGCGTCGAAGAGCGCCGCCGAGGCCAGCTGGAAGAACTCCCGCGACAGGCCGCCCGCGTCCAGGCCGTCCTCGCCGCGGAACTTGACGAAGAAGGGCTCGCGCCACCGGTGGTTCGGCAACTTCCCCAAGAGCGCGAAGGCGTCCGCGAGGAGCCGGCTCCGGTCGACGACGAACTCGACGCGCCCGACCTCCCAGGACACGCGGAGCGCGTCCATGCCCTTGCGGAAGGCCGCGACGCGCTTGGAAAACGTCCGCGTCTCCTCGAGCGCGGCCGCGACGTCGTCCGACGGCTTCCAGAGGCCGTCGACGGGCTCCGACGCCCGGGCGAAGGTCAGCGCGCCGTCGACGCCGTAGCGCTGGACGAAGCTCATGTCCAAACCCCGCCAGACGACGGAGCCCGTGCCGTCGTCGCGCCACGTGAACCGCCGGCCCTTGGCCCGGCGGTGGAACGATTCCGTTTCCGCGAGGCGCCGCGACGTCTCGGCGGAGAGGCGCCGCGACGGCTCGCGCGTCAGCACGACGTCCTCGACGGCGACGACGGCGCCCTCCTCGACGTCCGCGAAGCGCACCTCGGGCTTCCGGGCCCTCCGCCGCGCGGCGACGGTCGCGGCGACCGCGATCGCCAGGACGACGGCCGCCGCGACGGCGACGTAGGCCATGGCGCCGTCGAGCGACGCCGTGCTCGCGCCGCCGGAGTCGTCGTCCGCATCCGTCGCCGTCGGCGCGGCGCTCGGCGGCCGCGTCCGCGTCTCCCGCGTCGTCGCCACCGTCGACTCGGTCTCGATGAGCGCCACGGACGCGTCGACGTCGACCGTCGCGTCATATTCCAACGCGTCGCCGAAGGCGCCCGACGCGACGGCGTCGGTGAGCTCGTCGACGTAGCCGTCGTTGAGCGCCGCGGCTTCGTCGTCGTCCGCGGCCACAAAGGCCACGGTGAAGTCGACGCGCGCGGCCGCCTCGGACAGCCGGCGCCGCCGCCGCGCGGCCGCGACGCCGTCGACCGTGACGTCGTCGGCCGACGGCACGAGGGGCACGGACGCGGCGACGGCCTCGGCGAAGGCGGCGACGGCCGCCGCGTCCGACGCGAACGTCGCCGCGTCGACGCCGGTGAGGACGACGCTCGACGAGCTCGCGACGACGACGACCTCCGCGAGGAAGGCCGTCGGCGCGCGCGTCGGCCGGGGCGTCGGTTCCGGGGTCGGCGCGGGGGTGCCTTCGGGCGCCACGGCGCCCAGCGCGGTCGTCGGCGCCGCGAGGGGCGCGAGCGTCGGCGCGGCGGGCGCGTGGGGTTTTGGCGCGGGGGTCGGTCGCGGCGTCGGCTCGGGCGTGGGCTTCGACGACGGCTCGGGAGACGGGGGGGACGACGGCCGCGGCGTCGGCGCGAACGTCGGCCGCGGCGTCGGCGCGAAGACGGGCGTCCCGGTGGGATTGCCGGGCGTCGCCGTGGGCGACGGCGTGGGCTCGGGCGTCGGCGACGGGCTCGGGCGGTACGACGGGGTGGACGTCGGTCGATAGGTCGGCCTCGGCGTCGGCCTCGGCGAGGGCTCCGGCGAGGGTCCCGGCGTCGGCTCCGGCGAGGGCTCGGGCGAGGGCTCCGGCGAGGGCTCGGGCGTCGGCGCCGGCGTCGGCCGCGGCGTGGGCGCCGCCGAGGGCTCCGGCGTCGTGGGCCGCGGAGTCGGCGCCGTCGTCGGCCAGGCGCAGGCGTCGTGGTCCCCCGGGCAGAGGCCGTCGCCGGCGTTCGGCGGGCGGCAGGAGCCGTCGGACCTGACGCAGAGGACGCCGTCGTCCTCGCCGGCGCCGTTGACGTAGCTCGCGCAGCCGCACGCGAGACCGAGGGTCGCGCGCGTCGGCGCGATCACCGGCGCGGCCGTCGGCCGCTGCGTGCAGCCGCAGCTCAGCGCGCAGGCGTCGACGGCGACGGCCCCGTCCTCGCCGACGACGCCGCAGCGCGTCGCCGGGTAGGAAGCGACCCACGCGCAGTCCTTCCAGGGCTGGTCGCGCTTGTGAAAGGTCGCGTCGTCGCGGCACCAGCCCGTCGGCGCCGGCGAGGGCGCGGGCACCGTCGGCCGCGGCGACGGCGCGGGCGTCGGCTCGGGCGACGGCGCGGGCGTGTAGCTCACCTGGAAGTCGCGGGAGTCGGCGATCGTCGCGTCGTCCGTGCAGGCGATGGTCATCGTGTAGGCGTCGGCGTCGACGTCGGCGAGCACCTGGGACGTCGCGGCGCCGTCGTTCGCCGTCGTCCGCGAGTACGTTTCCACGCCCGCGGAGCTCACGGCGGAGACGGCGATTGTCGCGCAGGCGTCGGCGTCGCCGCGGTAGTCCCAGCGCAGCTCGCAGCGCGCCTCGGCCACGCAGGTCCAGCCGTCGCCAAAGGCCGTGATGCGCAGGAAGGACGCCGTCGGCGCGAACGTCGGCTCGGCCGTCGGCGCGGGCGTCGGCTCGGGCGTCGGCTCCGGCGACGGCTCGAGCGTGGGCTCCGGGGTGGGCTCGGGCGTGGGCTCCGCGGACGGGTCGGGCGTCGGCCCGGGCGTCGGGTCTGGGGACGGGGCGGGCGTGGGCTCCGGGGTAGGCTCCGGCGTGGGCTCCGTCGACGGCTCCCACGTCGTCGTCGGCTTTGGCGTCGGCTTGGGCGTCGGCTGGGCCGACGGCTTGGGCGTCGGCCTTTGCGAAGGCTTCGGCGTCGGTCTGGGCGTCGCCTCCGCGGTCGGCTTTGGCGTCGGCTTCGGCGTCGGGTCCGCGGGCTCCGGCGTCGGCTCCGGAGTCGGCTCGGGCGTCGGCTCGGGCGACGGCTCCGGGGTCGGCTCGGGCGACGGGTCGGGTTGGGTGGGCTTGGGCGTCTCGACCGTCGGCTCCGGCGTGGGCTCCGGCGTGGGCTCCGGGGTCGGCTCGGGCGATGGCTCGGGCGTCGGCTCCGGAGATGGCGCGTGGCACTCGTAGCCGTCATTGCAATCGCAGTTGTCCGTGCCCGGGTCGCAGCGATCGTTCTCGTCGCATTCGCCGTCGTAGGCGTACTGGCACGAGTTGCCACCCTCGCCCTCGCAGTCCGCGACGTCCGTGCCGTAGGCACAAACATAGCCCTCGTCGCACTCGCCGTCTTCGGTCCAGTCGCACGTCTCGTCGTCGTCCTCGTCCTCGTCCTCGTCCTCGTCCTCGTCCTCACCGAAGGTGTTGTCGAAGCTGAGCCAGGTCTCGATCTCGTTTTCGTCGTACCATGCGGGATATCTGTCCTTCCACGTCGCGTCGCACAATTCCCCGTTGCAGTCGCACATGCCCGCGTCGTCGCATTCGCAGTGGTTCAAGCAGCAGTCGGACACTTCCTGGTCCCAGGGCGTGCCGCAGCAGAAGTCGACGTCGCAGACGTAGCGATCGTCTTCTTCGTCGAAGCCGCAGTAGATGCCCTCGTCCGCGCAGTACGGCACGTCGTCATCGCTCTCGTCATAGTAGTAGTCCTCGTCCTCGTCGTCCGAGGAGCCATCGTCATAGTAGTAGTCGTAGTCGTCGTAGTCGTCGTGCTCCAACCTTCGCCGCGCCGGCAGCGCGCGCACGCGCTCCGCGGCGGCGCGCTGGGGCCCGGCCGCGCAGAGGAGCAGCCCCAGGGCTGCCATGCTCTCGAGCAGCCCGACTGCGCCGCGTTTTCCCAGAGCTAAAATTTCAGGTGCAACTTTCCCCAACTTGAAGCGGCGCTAATTACTCCGGGCCCTCGTCGGCCTTGCCCGCGCGCTGGGACGCGCGCTTCTGGGCGTTGCGGTTGAAGGACGCGCGCATGGACGCGCGCTTCGGCGGCGGCCGCGGCTTGTTGCGCGCGACGAGCGAGCCCGCGACGTTCGACTGGCCGAGCGTCGGCGTCACGACGGTCTCGAAGGACGACTCCGACTGGTTCTCGAGCAACCCGAAGGCCGTCGCGGGCCAGACGGGCTTGGGCGTCGACGTCGACACGCTCGGCGGCCGCGGCGCCTTGGCGAGGCCGAAGCCCGGGAACTTCCAGCGGAGCTTGCCCTCGGGCGCCGTGTGGCGGCTCCACGCCGCGGAGCAGTCGAGGCGCGGCGACGCCGGGTCCTCGGGGTCCAGCGCCGGCGCGGCGTCGCCGCCGTCGCGCAGGCCCGGGAAGCGGTGCTGGAGGTAGCCGAGGCGCAGCTCCGCCTTGTCGTCGGCGCACGGCTTGAACGTCAAGACGAGCTTCGCGCCGTCGCGGATCTTGTAGTGGCGCATGGTCTTGTCGTCGTGGAGCTCCGCGCCGCGGTAGGACAACACCTGCAGCTCCACGGGCGCCTTACGGCCGAGCTTGCCCAGGCTCCCGACGACGTGCTGCTTCATGACGCCCACCGTCGTGCCGTCGTGCGCGCTCATGAGCTGCGTCCACGGGTTCGTCGCCGGGCAGCGGCACAAATTCGTCGACCGGCTCTCGACCTTGAGCGTCATGGCGTTCCCGAAGGCGAAGCTCAGGCGCCGGTTCGCCATGCGCAGGCTGCCCTGGAGCTTGCTGCTGAGGCCGTAGGAGCCGCGGCGGACCTCGCCGTTGGAGTCCGTCGTCTGCGGCCGCGACCCGCTCGGGCTGCCGCCCTGCATGGACGACCGCCGCGCGCCGCCCTCGAGCGACGCGCGCCGCACGCCGCCGCCGCCGCGGGCCGACGAGTGGTGCGACGCCTGCGACGGCTGCGCGCTCGGCGGCTTGGGCTGTTTGCCCCTGTGCGTCGGGTCCTTGCTTCCTAACGTCGAGATGGAGCCGTCGTCCTCCTCGATGGCCGCGCGCATGGTGCCCGTCTTCGCCTTGGCCAGCATCATGTTCGCGCGCTCGCCGCCCTTGAAGACGCGCGACGACTGGCGCCGCCCGCCCGCGGGGCTCGCCGCGCGGCCGCCGCCGCCGTCCTTGCCGCCGACGAGGCCGCCGATCGCGCCCATCTTGGCGCCCTCGGGGACGCCCATTGCTTTTGAGCGTCGAGGTTTTACGGTGTGCAACGTTGAGTGCCGTGTGAACGCACGAGAAGAGGGCTGCCCATTGCCACGAGACGCGTTTCGCCTCGGCTCTCCCGGGGTATTGAAGGTAAAGGAGCATCCACTCAAGTAGTTGCCGTAGGCGATCGCAATATAGGCGCTCGCGTCCTCGCAGCCACCATGTCGTCGACGGAGCTGAAGAAGGACAAGAAGAAGAAGCAGAAGAAGCAGAAGAGCAACCAGTCGAGCGTCGACTTCTGCATCATGGGCGCCGACGGCAACGTCAAGGAGGTCGTCAAGAAGAAGAAGCGCGACGCCTCCGGCAAGGTCAAGGAGGCCGCGCCGGAGCCCGCCGACGCGGCGCCGGCGCCGCCGAAGGCGCCGCTGAGCGCCGAGGAGAAGGCGGCGAAGCGGGCGCGCAAGGAGGCGAAGCGCGCGAAGCGCGAGGCCAAGGCCGAGAAGCGCGCGGCCGCGGCGGCCGCCGCGAAGCCCGCGGCCGCCGCGCCCGCGGCGGCGAGCGCCCCGGCGCCCCGGGGCGCGGCGCGCGCGTCGAGCGCGTCGAACCCGTCCGGCGTCACGCGCCTCTTCGTGGGGAACCTGCCCTGGAGCATCACGGACGACGAGCTCGCGAGGGCGCTCGGCCGCGAGTCGCTGCCGGTGATCAAGTACATCACGGACAAGGAGAGCGGCAAGTTCTACGGGTCGGCCTTCGTCGACGTCGGCGGCGACGCCGCCGCCGCCGCCGCGGCCGTCGCGCGGAACGGCGACTCCGTCGGCGGGCGGCCCATGAAGGTGGCCTACGCGCCGCCGCGGCCGGGCGACGTCTGGCCGCCCGTCGCCGGCGACAGCAACGCGCGCAAGGGCACGACGCCCCGCGAGCGCACGCCGCGGCCCGAGGGCGGGAGCCACAAGCTCTTCATCGGCAACATCGCCTACGAGGCCACGGACGACGACGTCGCCGCGGTCTTCAAGGACGTCGCGCCCGAGGGCCTCAGCGCCGTGCGCTGGGTCACGCACAAGGACACGGGCGACTTCAAGGGCTGCGGCTACCTCCAGTTCCACACCGTCGAGCAGGCGGACGCGGCCGTGGAGCTCAACGGCGCGAAGCTCCACGGCCGGCCCATCCGCCTCGACTACGCGACCTAGGGCGCGCGCGGCGGCTAAGTGGCGCGATCCGCGGCGTAGTCGTAGCGAATATTAAAGCGAGGCACATACACGGGAGGGGCGCCGAGTCCACGTCGGCGCCCGGTCCGCGGCGGTCCGCGGTTGTTTTTTTCCGGAGCGCGCGTCCGCCTGCCGTCGAGGCGGCGGCGCGGCGCTCCCACATAGGTTTTTTTTTTGGTGTCGGTCCGGGGTCGCCGCGGCGTCAGCCGAGCGCGGACGTCGACGCCGCGAAGCGGTGCTTGTCGAGGCGCGGCGGCCGGAAAAAGGGGTGGTCGAGGGCCTTGCGGCAGGTGATGCGCTTCGACGGCGCGTAGGTGAGGAGGCAGGCGACGAGGTCCAGCGCCTCCGCGCCGCCGCTCGGCGACGCGGGGCCGAGCTCGGGGACGGCGCAGTCCCAGCGCTGCGCGTGCCACTTGGGGAACTCGGCCTTGTAGTTGGGCAGCTGGGACACGCCCGGCCAGACGTGGTCCCCCGGCGTGCCGCAGACGCGGAAGATGCGGAAGAGCTCGTCGATCTCGCTGTCGCCGGGGAAGAGCGGCCGGCTGCTCGCCATCTCGCAGAAGATGCAGCCGATGGACCAGATGTCCACGGGCGTCGAGTAGTGCTCCGCGCCGAGCAGGATCTCCGGCGCGCGGTACCAGAGCGTGATGACCTCGTGCGTGTACGCGTGCCGCGGGCTCGAGAACCTGGGGGCGGGCGCGTTCGAACGCGGAGGGGGCGAAAAGGGCGGTCCCGGGACGCCGCGAAGGCGTACGCCCGCGCGAGGCCAAAGTCCGCGAGCTTCAGCGTGCCCGCGCTGTCGAGCAGCAGGTTCTGGGGCTTGAGGTCGCGGTGCAGGACCCGGCGCTCGTGGCAGAACGCGACGCCGCAGAGGATCTGGTACACGAAGGACGTGCAGACGCTCATGTCGAGGCCTGCGCGGCGGTGACGGTGGCGCGGTTTCCCGGGAACGTCGCGGGCGCCCCCGACCCCCCCGCATCGCCCGCGCGCGGGCCCCCCGTCGGATACGCGGGGCGACGCGCCTCGGCCCGCGCGCGCGTCCATGTAGTGCTTCAGGTCCTGGTCGAGGAACTCGAAGGCGAGGAAGAGCTTCGAGTTGACGTAGACGACGTCGTGGAGCGCGACGATGTTCGGGTGGCTCAGCTCCTTGAGGAGGCTGATCTCGCGGATCGCCGTCGCGGGGACGCCCTCCTCCTCGTCCGCGAGGCGGATCTTCTTCAGCGCGAGGATGCTGTTCGTCCGCACGTTGCGCACCTTGTAAACGACGCCGTAGGTGCCCTCGCCCACCTTCTCCACCTTCTCGTACTTCTCCATGGCGCGCGCACCTGCGTTGGCGAGGCGTCTGGATACACGGGTCGAAAACTCGCCGACGGCGACGCGCGCGGCTGGCGCGCGGCGCCGGGGGCTGGAATATCTGTTCAAACGGGTCCAGGGGAGGGGACGCGCTGGGTTTTGGGGCTGGACGCTGCGTCGAACGCGGCCGTACGCCACTACGTCGCGCGACCTTGCCGCCGACTCGCGCCAAAGCTCGAAAGCCCTCGGATCTTGCTCGCTCGGCCGAAACTTTTGTCCGACATTGACTTCTTCAACATAGATCCTATGAGACGATGGCAGCCCGCTATCGTCGTCCTAGCACTCCTCCTCACCGCGCATGCGCGCCGCCGCGGCGCGCTGCGGCCGCACGCGAAGGCGTTGACCCGCACGGGCCGCACGGTCTACTACGAGGTCGTCAAGTCGAAGCCGCGGCAGCCCGGCGACCGGCACAACCAGGGCGGCGTCCGCGGCCGCCCGATACTCCGGAACTCGACGTGGATGGAGGTGGCCCACACGCGCGACGCGCGGGACCTGCTCGGCCGCGAGTCCGCGTCGCTCTGGATGTACCGCGCGCGCGAGGGCAAGACGCGCGTGTGGTACGAGACGGGCCCGACGCTCGCGAGCTCCCCCGGCGTCCAACAGCCCAACAAAAAAGATCGCACCCGCGTAGGAGTGCGCGGACACGGTGGACCTCGCGGCGTACGTCAACGCGACCTACTACGACCCGCGCGACTACACCTCGAAGCTCCGGCTCTTCGTGGACGCGACGCCGGCGCTCCTGGGCCGCGGCGTCGAGACGGTCGTCTTCACGTCCCACCTCGACGCGTGCTGCGACCGGCGGCTCCACGAGGTCATCGCCCTGCGCGGCGGCGACGCCGGCGCGTGCCCCGCGTCGCCGCGGTTCCGGTCGGGCGCGAACGAGACCGCGCTGCGCGCGTGCGCGTGCGCGACGCCCGCGTCCGTGTGCTAAGTTTAAAGGGGTGCCTACTTGTGGGCGTACTTCTCTTCGCCGTAGTCGTCGTCGTCGTCGTACTTGCCCTCGCCGTCGTCCGGCGGCGGCGCGGAGTCCGGCGGCGGCGGCGCGTCGGAGTCGTCGAAGTTCGCCGCCGCGAAGTCCTCGTCGCCGATGAGGGACCCGGACACGCCGTAGGTCCGGAAGCCGCCGACCTTCTTGAGGAGCTTGGACCGCTGGAGCCGGCTCTCGACCTTGAGCTCCTTCGTGAGGTCCGCGTCGGTGATCTCCGCGAGCATGGACCCGTCGAGGCGGCTCTGCTGGGCCGCCTCGACGATGGACGGCAGCTCGATGCTCTCGAGGAGCGCGCAGACCTCGTCGACGTTCAGGCTGCTCAGCGCGCGCGTCCGCTCGACGCCGCGCACCGGCTCGAGCAGGTCCACGGGCACGCCCTTCTTGTCCACGAACTCCTTCACGTGCGAGATGAGGTTCACGCGCTGCACGTGGCTCGCCATGCCCAGCTCCCCCTCGAGGTCCTTCTCCGTCTTCAGCGCCGCCAGGACGACGCCGTCGACGCCGAAGCGCTGGAAGCTGCCCACGTGCTTGTCCAGTCCCAGCTGGCAGAGCAGGTAGCCCACCTCCTGGGACGTGAGCGCGCTCAGCTCCTTCCGCTTCGTCGCCACGGACATGGACGTCCGCACGTCGTGCGACATCGCGCGCGACGAGCGCCGCGGCCCGTTCTCAAAGACCGGCCGGGGCAGCGGTGCTGTTGTTGAGGCCAGCGCTGCCGCAGAGCTCGAGGCGCCGCTGACACAGGAGCACACCACGATGCGCTGCTTCATCCTGTCCGCGCTCGCCCTGGCGGCCTCCGCGCTGCAGGCGCCGTCGCGCGTCGGCGCCCCCGCGACGTCGTCGGCGCCGTCGCCCGTGTCGCGCTACGCCAGCGAGACGTTCCGGTCGACGAGCGTCAAGATGAACATCTTCGGCAACAAGCAGCGCGAGGAGGAGGCCGAGGCCGCGCGCCTCGACGCGGAGCAGGAGGCGCTCAACCAGCGGTGGGCCAAGGAAACGATGCAGGAGACCGCGCGGACCGGCGTCCGTCTCTTTCGGAGGGAGCGCGACCGCGCCGCGCGGAGGCGATCGACGGACGACCCCGAAACCCCCTCGCAGCAACTGATGACCATCTTCGGCGTCGGCACGTCCCTGCCCGTCATCTACCTCATCTACCTCGCCTTCGCCGTCGACGACTCCGTGGACTTGGACGGCACGGGCATCTACTAGGCGCGCGAAAAGACGCGGCCCGCCGGAGCGCGGCCGCGTAGCGCGCGCTCTAGGACAAAAAAACCATGCTCTCGACATCGAAAAGAGCAACACGCGTTAGTACAGGGGCATGGGGGTGACGTCCACCGGCGCGATACAGTCGCGCCGCCGGGCCGGGCGCGCGCGTCGCGGGCCTCGGAGCGCGTCCGCGCTGGCGGAGCGCGCGCGCTCCGAGGCCCGGGCCGAGCGCGCCCGGCAGGTCGAAAAATAATCATGTGAACTCAGGACACGGCGATGCGCTGCCGCTGGGCCGGCGGCGTGTGCGTGCCTCGGTCGCTGTCGTCGCCGCCGCCGGGCTTGGCGCGGTCGACCCCGTCGTCGGACTCGCGCGCGTCGTCCGTGACGCTGCGCACGAGGTGCTCGCCGGCGGAGGACCCCTCGCTGGCGTCGTCGGACGAGCTCGACGAGGACAACAGCAGCGTGAGGCTGTGCTCGGGCGTCGCGAGGCTCGTGTGGTCCGTCTGGACCTCGATGGACCGCTGCTCCGTGCGGAACGCGCAGAGGTGGCCGCTCTTGGGCAGGCCGCAGCGGCCGCAGCGGTAGGGCCGCCGCGGCTTGTGCGCGCGCTTGTTCGCGCCCTTCCCACCGGCACCCTTAGGCGCCGACGCCGCGTCGATGAGGCTCAGCAGCCCGTCGGCAGCCCCGGTCTCCATGGCTGCTCAACGTGGAGCCGGCGGCCGCCGCCCGCAGCATCCAGCGTCGGCCGGCGCGGTGCGCAGCGTGTGCGCGCAGGCACGGCCGTTCGGCTGCGCGGCCGATGACGCGGCAGTGGCGCGGAGAGTCTGTGAAGGCTGGCAAATTTTTCTGTTCGGACTCCTTGTGCTGCCAATTTTATGCCTCGGCAAGGACGCAGCATCTTGGGAGCGTTGCCCTTCAAGAAAGACGCTGCCCCGCATCCCTAGCCATCCCTAGCCGACGAGAAGCCCGACCGCGAACATGCTCGCGTCGCTGCGTACGAGCGGCAAGGCGGCGTCGCCGCGCCGCGCCTCCAACGGCAAGGCGGCGTCGAACGTGCTGGCGACGGCGGCGCTGCAGCGCATGGAGCACGACCCCGACATCAGCGCCGAGCGCGACGGCACGCGCGCCGTCGCCGCCGGCGGCGCCGCGCCGAAACGCGTCCCGCTCAACGTCGTGAACCAGTCCCATCGGGCCAACGCGGCGACGGCCGCGCTCGCGGCCGAGGTCGGGTTGCCCAAGCTCCTCGCGTTCACGACGAAGTTCTACGAGAAGGCGCGCGCCGGCGCGCGATTTCGAGGCCGCGAAACGCGCGATCGTAGGCCTTCGCGGACCCGCAGCTGGACCCGTTCATCCGCGACCACGGCGACCCCCACGGCCAGCGCTTCGCGAACTGGATCTTCGAGAAGATGGGCGGCGGCCCGGTCTGGACCGAGGAGCGGAAGACGCGGGCCGTGTGCCCGTTCGCGAGCCGCGGCCACGAGTTCGAGACGCCCCACGACCGGTCCTCCGCCCACTTCGCCGCGTGGCATTCGCCGAAGCGCGACCCGAGCGAGTGGGGCGACCACTTCCAGCTCGACGACTGCCGGGTGTGGATGCGCCTCCACTTCTGGGCCGCGCGGGAAACGGGCATCTTCGACGACCACCCGGCCTTCGCCGCGCGCGCCGGCGTCCGATCTTCTTCAGCGGCGGGGGACACCTTGGTATAGGACTACTACGTGCGGCTCATCGGCCACTTCGTCTCCGTCTACGAGCGGACCGCGCCGCCGTTCGCTAGAGAGTCGGCGCGCTGGTCCGCGGACCCGGCCCAGGTCGCGGACTACGTCGCGACGAAGCGCATGAAAGGCGTCGTCGACGCGCCGCTCCGGGACGCGCTCGCGCGGCTCCCGGCCGAGGAGCGCGCCTACACGGGCTCCGGCGCGGGCCGGCGCCTCTGGCCCTACGAGCTCTAAAGGGAAACTGGGGCTTTAAGCAGGGTCGGTCCGTGCGGAGGGGCAGCGCCGGCCGGCGCGCCTCGGCTCTCCGCGCCGGCTGTCGCCTACTTCTCCTTGCACGCCTTCCAGCACGCGCTGTCGAACAGGTTGCAGTCCGGGCAGGACCACGGGTAGGGCTTGGCGCGGATCTTGAGGTGCCTGCGGGGCGCGGCACATTGAGTCGTCGCGCGAGACGGGGACGGGGGGCGGCGCGCCGCGAGCGGGTCCGATCCGGTCCGGGCCGAGGCGGAAGGTTTCGACGCGGCGCGCGGACGACATGGCCGGGGTGTGGCTTTCGTGCGGGTGCGCGAGGTGGTTGAGCTCCGTGATGACGACGTCTGCGCGGTGGGGGGCGGGGTGAGCGCGGGGGGCGCCGCGCGGGGCTCCGGGGCGGCGCACAGGTGCCGAGCGTGCCGCTGAAGGCGAGCGCGCCGTAGGAGTACTTGACCCACTTGGACATCTCGACGGCGGCTTCCGCGGCGTCGTGGCCGCCCATCCGGCGGACGGGCGCGCGGAGCGCCGGGGCGACGACACGGGAGGCTGCGCGGGCTGCAAACATGCTGCCTGTCGATCAAGGACCGCCCAAATCTCTCGACGGAAGACCGCGTCCGCCGGCTCGAACGGACGTCGGACGCCTCCGTACGCGTCCGGACGCGCCGGACGACGCGCACTCGAAAACACACCGAAAAAAAACCGAGGCGCACGTCTCTTAGTAGCGCGCGGATCGTCGTCCTTGCTAGGCGAGGGCCCCCGTGACGACGCAGCCCGGGTTCGCGGGCGTCTTGTTGACCAGCGCGCCGAGCTTGAAGACGCCCGTCTCGCCCGCGGCGCCGAGCATGGCGACGGCCTTGTCGACGTCGCCGGGCTTGAGCACGAGCACGAGGCCGACGCCGCAGTTGAAGGTGCGGAGCATCTCGTCGTCGGGCAGGCCGCCGCACGCGGCCCGGAGCCACTTGAAGAGCGGCGGCAGCGCGAAGGGCGCGCACTCCGCGGCGAGGTGGTCCGGGAGGCAGCGGGGCAGGTTCTCCGTGAGGCCGCCGCCCGTGATGTGCGCCGCGCCGAGCAGCTCCACGCCGCTCAGCGCCGCGATCGTCGACGCGTAGAGCCGCGTCGGCGCGAGGAGCGCGTCCGCGAGGCTCCCGACGTACTCGGGCGCCGCGGCGTTGAGCGACGCCGCCGACGCGCTCAACAGCGCGGTCGCGTCGCCCGCGGCCTTGGCGTCGGCCTCGCGCTGGAGCGCCTTGCGGACCAGCGAGAAGCCGTTCGCGTGGACGCCCGACGACGCGACGGCGACCAACTGGTCGCCCGGCGCCATGCGGCCGCACTTGGGGAGCATGTCCTTGCGCCGTAAAGCGCCCACGGCGAAGCCCGCGACGTCGTAGTCGCCCGCGCCGTAGAGGCCCGGCATCTCCGCGGTCTCGCCGCCGACGAGCGCGCAGCCGCTCTTCGCGCAGCCGTCGGCGACGCCGGCGACCAAATCGCCGCAGCGGCCCACGTCCAAACTGCCCGTCGCGTAGTAGTCGAGGAAGAAGAGGGGCTTCGCGCCCGTCGTGACGATGTCGTTGACGCACATGGCGACGAGGTCGACGCCGATCGCGCCGTCGTAGTTGACGCCGTCGGCGAGCTCGTTGCCCGCCTGGGCGAGCCGCAGCTTCGTGCCGACGCCGTCCGTGCCCGACACGAGGAGCACGTCCTCGCCCGCGTCGTCCGGGTCCGCCGCGGGGCCGAAGCCCGCCTTCTTCAGGTCGAATAAGGCGCCGAAGCCGCCGAGCGACCCCTCGCAGCCGGGGATCGCCGTCGCCTTGGCCAGAGGCTTGATGCGGTCCACGAGGGCGTTGCCCGCGTCGATGTCGACGCCCGCCGCGCGGTACGTCAGCGGCGCCGCGGGCGCCGCGGCCGCGTCGTCCGCGCGCGGCGCCGCGCGCGGCGCGAAGCGCGCGCCCGCGTCGCCGCGCTGGAAGGCGGCGGCGGCGGCGAGCAGGGCGGGCCCCTCGAGGGCCTGGACGCGCTTCTTCAGGTCCTCGGGCGCGTCCGCGGCCTCGACGGCGCAGACCTTCTGGACGACGACGGCGCCGCCGTCGACGTCGTCGGTGACGAGGTGCACCGTGCAGCCCGTCTCGGCCTTCTGCGCCGCGAGCACGGCCGCGTGGACCTCCAGATCCATGCCGCCGGCGAAGTCGGGCAGCAGGCTCGGGTGCACGTTGAAGCAGCGGCCGCGCCACGCGGCGACGAATTCCGGCGACAGGATCTTCATCCAGCCGACGCAGAGCACGAGCTCGACGCCCGCCTCGTCGAAGGCCGCCGTGAGCAGCGCGTCGTAGGCCGCGCGCTTCTCCTCCTTGGTGCCCGACGACGCCGGGGGCGCCTTGACGTGGACGCGGTTGCCGCATTTCGCCGCGCAGCGCTCCAGGATACCCGAGTCGGCCTTGTTCGAGAGCACGCACACCAACTCGGCGTTGGGGAAGGCGTCGGTGCCCAGGGCGTCGAGCAGCGGCTGCAGCGACGACCCGCGCGTCGACCCGAGGACGCCGATCTTCAGCGGCGCGTCCAAACACCGCCGCGCGATGTCGCCGCGGTAGCGCGCGCCCGCGAAGCGGACCTTGGCGGCGCCGGCGTAGGCGGCGCGCAGGGCCCCCTTGAGCTCCGGCGCGACGGCGCTGACGGCGACGACGCGGCCGCCGGACGTGACCAACGCGCCGTCCTGCAGCTTCGTGCCCGCGTGGAAGACCGTGACGCCCGGGAGCCGGTCCGCGTCGCGGACGCCGGACATGGCCAGGCCCTTGGCGTAGGACCGCGGGTAGCCCCCGGCGGCGACGACGACCGTCGCCGCGACGGCGTCGGCCCAGCGCACGGGCGGCAGCTCCGCCAGCCGGCCCGTCGCGCACGCCATCATGACCTCGAAGCAGTCGCTCTCGAGCAAGGGCAGCACGACCTGCGTCTCCGGGTCGCCGAAGCGCGCGTTGAACTCGAGGAGGCTCGGCCCGGACTCCGTGAGCATGAAGCCGCCGTAGAGGCAGCCGACGAACGGCCGGCCCTCGGCCTTGAGGCCCGCGACGGCCTTCGCCATGACGGCCTGGGCCTCGGCGAGCTGGGCGGCGGAGATCTGGGGCGACGGCGCGTAGGCACCCATGCCCCCCGTGTTGAGGCCCCGGTCGCCGTCGAGCGCGCGCTTGTGGTCCTGCGCGGGCGGCATGCACGCGCACGTCTCGCCGTCGCAGAAGGCCAGCAGCGAGATCTCGGGCCCGCTCATCTGCTCCTCGATGACCACCGTGTCGCCGGCGGCGCCGAAGCCGTGGTCGCCGAACATCTCGTCGACGGCCGCGAGCGCCGCGGCGCGGTCGCCCGCGGGCGGCACGAGGACGCCCTTGCCCGCGGCGAGGCCCGACGCCTTGACGACGACGTCGAAGCCGCAGCGCTCGACGTAGGCCCGCGCCTTGGCCTTCTCCGAGCTCGCGAAGGTCTCGAAGCGCGCCGTCTTGAGGCCCCGGCGCGTCATGAACGCCTTGGACCACGCCTTGGACGCCTCGATCTCCGCGGCCGCCGCGCTCGGGCCGAACGTCGCGACGCCGAGTGCGCGGCAGTCGTCGCAGACGCCGGCGACGAGGGGCGCCTCGGGCCCGACGACGACGAGGGCGACCTGCTTCTTCACGGCGAAGGCCGCGACGTCGGCCTCGGCGACGGACACGTTCATGACCTTGCCGCCCATGCTCGCCGTGCCGCCGTTGCCCGGCGCGGCGTAGATCTTCTCCACCTTGTCGCTCCGAGCGAGCGCCGTCACGATGGCGTGCTCGCGGCCGCCGCCGCCCACGACGAGGACGGAGACCATGGCTTCTGCACTTCTTGTTGCGCCCCGACCGACGCTATTGGTGCGCTCACGCTTTAAAATGAAGTGCCCGTCGATTGAATCGGCGAGGCAGACCTCAGCTTGTGGACATCGAGGCCATTGAAGCGCCGTCAGCAGGCAGTGCGACGCGCCGCAGCCGCAGCAGCACCGCCGAAACACCGCCGCTGCGACAAGCGCGCACCTGTGCTGCAGACGATGCCCGCCCTACTCCTCAAACTCCTCGCCTTGGCGGCCTGCGCGAGCGCGCTGCGCGTGACGCGCCGCGGCGCCCTCGCGGCGGCCCCCAAGCTCGGCGGCGCCGCCGCCGCCGCTGCTCTCCTCCCCGCGCCGGCCGTCGCCGACGAGGAGGTCAAGGCGACGGCGAATTCGCTGAAGCCGCTCTACCAGGCCGCGCAAAAGTTCAAGCTCACGCGGCGGTCGACGCCCGGCGAGGTCGCGGTGCCCGAGGCCTTCGAGCAGGGCATGGAGAGCCCGTTCATCGGGCGCTACACGGACCCGAACCACCCCGGCGGCTTCCGCGAGGTGGCGCTCCTCGAGACGCAGGTCGGCATCTACCGCCTCGCGAAGGTCACCGGCGGCGGCGGCCGCGGCGAGCCCGCGAGCTTCGAGCTGCCCGCGCTCGTCTACGGCGACACGATCACCGTGGACTTCTCGCCCAAGGGCGGGCCCTTCGGGCTCACGGGGAAATACGACGTCCGCGGCGACAAGGGCATCCTCTGGCCCGACAAGAACAAGTGGCCCAAGGTCGAGAAGCAGTAGGATGCTTCCGAGGAGCGCTATTCGGTCGTAAGTCGGCGCCGCCCCAGTCCCGGGGCGGAGCGCGGGCGCGCGCGGGGCGCGGCCCTCAACGGCGGCCGCGGCCGAAGAGCTTGCAGGGCGGGCACGCAGGACAGCTCGGGCCGAAGGCGGCGAGCAAGGTCGCCGCGGGCGGCGGCAGGCCCATCGCGACGAGGCCCGCCTCGTCGAGCACGCCCATGCTCTGGGCGGCGACGAGGAAGCAGCCGCCGAGGGCGAGGAGCGCGCCCGTGCGGACGAGGAAGCCGAACTCCGCGGCGTCGCTGGGCGCCGCGGCGGCGGGCGCCGCCGGCGCGGCGACGGGCGCCGGCGCGCAGGGCGCGGCGCCCTTGCAGTCCGACGCCATGAGCTTGGCGATCTTCGCGTTCGCGGCGGAGGCCTCGGATTTCGACGCCGCGAGCTCCCGCGCCATGGCCGCCTTGCCCTCGGCGAGCGCGCCGAGCTCGGCTTTCGCCGCCGCGAGCTCCTTGGCCGCGGCCTTGGCGGCGGCGGTGAGCTCCTGCGAGGCGGCGGCGTCCTTCTTGTGCCGGTCCTTGAGCACGCGCGTCACGAGCTGCACGGATTCGGACACGATCTTGTTGGCGGCGTCGGGGTCGGACTTGGTCGACACGGCGGCGCTCAGGGCGTCGACGAACTCGCTCTGGTCGAGCTTCCCGTCGCGGTTCGTGTCGAAGCGCTGCATGACCTCGATGGAGAAGCCCACGGCCTTGAGCTCCTCGGAGTCCAGCGTGCCGTCGCCGTCGAGATCGATCTCGCGGAAGGCCGTCTCGAGGACGACCTTGACGAGGTCGTCGAAGTTCGTCGCCTTCTTCTTCTTCGTGAACGACATGGGGCGCTTTTGAACGTTCGTTCCGCAAGATCCAGACGACGCGACGTCGACGTTTGTGAAGCTCGCGGGGCTGCTAGCTCGCGGGGCAGTGCAGACCATATCTTGCGCGAGGGGCGAGGCGTCTGCGAAGCTCGAGCTCGAGCCGGCCTGCCAGAACACACATCGCCGTCCGCCGGCCCGTCGCCCGCGCCGTCGCTCGTGCCCACGCTCGCGTTTAATCGCTCCCACCAAACGCCGCAACTCCACAGTCATGCCTGCCGGAGTCGCAAGCTGCTCCATCGACGGCCTCGACGACGCCGAGACGTCGCGCGCGGCAGCGCGGGAGCTGCACCTTTGCATATCCACAAAAAACTCGCCCAAATCGTTGGATCGCCACGCACAATCGCGCGCGCGCGGGACCTCCCGCCACACAAACAATCGCGCGCGCCCCGCAGGTTCGAGGTGAGCGCGCACGCGAAGAACGTGCTCGACGCGAAGACGTGCCTCCCGACGCTCTGGTACGCGTTCGACGCGGGCTGCAAGATCGCGCTCTCCGGCGACGGCGCTGGCGGCGTCGCGCTCCGCGTCGACAACAAGGGCGGCAAGGTCTTCGCGGCCGCCGCCGCCGCGGGCGGCCTCGGCGCGTTCCTCCAGAAGTGCGACCTCGACACCGCCGTGTCGCTCTGCGACCTGTCCAACAAGTACCGCGCGGCGCTCTTCGGGCCCGACGCGCAGTACCGCGACGACTTCGTCCCCAGCGAGCTCAGCCCGTTCCTCGACTTCGAGCGCGCGTACCCGGCCGCGGCCAAGGCGCTCAAGAAGGGCGCGGTCCTCGCGCTCGACAAGGTGCACGGCTCGACGCTGACCGTCGGCGGCACTGCGTCGCCCGTCCAGGCCGCGACGCTCGCGGAGGTCTTCGAGGCCGCCAACCGCCTCTGCTAGTGCCCAAGGCGGCGTGTAAGCAAGCTAGGAACACGCGCAGTGGCACCAGCTCCGCGCGGCGACGTCATTGACGTCGTCCTTGACGGGCTCCGCGCGGACCGGCGCGGCGGAGCCGTCGGCGACGATGAGGTTGTTCTCGGGCGAGAGGGCCGCGTCGCAGTAGTGGACGCGGGCCGCGCGCGCGAGGCCGCGCCGCGCGAGGAAGTCGATGCGGCCCTCGTCGATGAGCTGCTTGCACCGGCGGCCGACGTCGCGCTTCTCGCGCCAGCCGAGCCCCGCGAGGGCCTCGTCCGGGTCCGACGCTGGCGGCCGGTCGTGGCCCGACCGGTCGCGACTCGCCGGCGCGGCGTCCGGGTCCTCCATCGTCGCCCAGGCGGCCCAGCGCGCGACCTTTGCGAATTCCGCCGCGTTGCCGCCGTCGACCGCCACGCAAAAGTAGTCGCGGCCGACGTAGGAGGACCAGTCGCAGCGGTGGTGGCAGCACGTCGCCAGCGCGAGGCCGCGCCAGGTCCCCGGCGGCAGCGAGTCGAGCGCCTTCAGCGCCAAATCCGACGCCGAGCCGCACAGGTGCTTCGCGACCCCCACCACCGCCAAAGTCCCGAGCGCGTCCACCCTCGCCAGGTCGACGTCCGCCAGGTCGCCGCGCACGCGCGCGAAGGCGCCGACCTCGCGCATGTCGCCGTCGCGCTTGTGGCGCCGCGCCTCGCGCTCGACGCAGACGACGGCGTCGCCCGGGTACGCGGCGCGGACGCGCGCGGCGAGGCCGCCCTTGCCCGCGCCGAGATCGACGACGGCCGCGCGGTCCGCGAACAGATCCGGGATCTCCCGCGCCGCGGCCTCGACGATGAGGTCGCCCTGGATCGCGTGGCGCTGCCGCTTCGTCGCGGCCGCGGACGGCCGCGCGCCGCAGCGCTGCGCCTCGAAGGCGCCGAGCGCGGCGAGCAGCGCCCGCGTCGGCCGCGGCGGCGCGTCGACGTCGCCGAGCGCGCCGGCGCCGCCGCCGTTGACGCCCTCGCGGAACCAGGCCTGCTGTCTTTGTCGGTCCGCGTCGGTCTTCGTCGCGCAGATCTTCACGTGGGCCTCGAGCTGGCTCCGGAGCACCGTGTGGCTGCCGTCGACGGGGCAGGGCACGCGCGCCAGGTCGCCGGCGAGGTCCGGGTCGTGGTGCCGGCAGTAGCGGAGGCCCTCGGGCGGCGCGAAGTTGCAGTACCGCGACTTGCCCGCCATCCAGTGCGCGCACATGCCCGCGCGCCGCAGCGCGTCGCCCGCGCCGGCGTCGCCGCGGAGCTTGCGGATGCTCGCCTTGGCGGCCTTGCGCTCCTGGCGCGTGGCGGCCCGGCGCGGCCGGCAGGGCGCGCAGACGAGCGGCGCGTCGCGCGGCGGCGTGTTTTGCAGCGTCGCGGGTGGCGCGGCATCGCGCAGCGCATCGCGGTCGGTGAACACGTAGCGGTAGTGCGCCAGCAGCGCGAGCTCTTCAGCCATCGGTGCTACTCCGTGTCAGGCGATAGGACCATCCATTGCCTCAAGACTGCCTCTTCAAGTTGACCTCAACACGTGACACCAAACCCACGTTACGTCACGCGTCTGGCGGCGGGAGGATCCACTCCTGGGACGTGCGGCGCGGCGGCTCGACCTTCGCGGGCGCGGCCCGGGGCGTGCTCGACGGCCGCGCGGCGACGGACGACGCGGACGCCCAGTCGCTCGTGCGGCGCGCGTCGCGGTGCGCGGGCGACGGGCTCTTGCGCTGCTCGCCGAGGCGCTTCGACGCGTCGCTCGGCCGCGTCGAGGCCGCCTCCTGGAGCGGGTTCTCCGTGGCGAACGCGGCGGGTTCGCCGTCGTAGACCGCGAGGAGCTCGGCCCACTCGTCGCCGATGCCCGGCCCCGCGGCGCGCGCGACGCCGTCGTCGAGGAAGGCCACGTAGGGCCCCCACTTCTTGAAGCGGGGCAGCGAGTCCGTCTCCATGAGGTGGCGGCACTCGCGGGCGCACGCGGCGATGGGCTCCCTGGGCACGGCGCGGCCCTTGGACGACGCCGCGAGCGCGTCGCGCACGCGCGCGACCATGGACGCGGGCACGTTGACCTGGAGCGTCGCCGTCCGGGGATCGAGGAACTCGCCGAAGATGCGGTCCGCGTCGCCGAAGCCGACGGCGTCGCCCGGCGGCAGCGCGGCTACCAATCGCCAGAAGACCAAATTCTCGAGGCAGTACTGCTGGGCCAGGAACTTGGCGAAGAGCTCCGCGGTTGAGGCGTCGCGTAGGATGTCGTCGAGGTCGCCGCGGCGCGCCGCGGCGCCCCCGGGACTCTTCAACTCCACGCCCGGCGCGTCGTCCTTCTGCCGCAGCTTGGACCCGGAGAGAGAGGCGCGCAGCGCGCGCCCCCGCCGGCTCCGCGCGAAGGCGTCGACCGCGGCGGCCGAGGCCGAGAGCAGGAGCGGCGCGAGGCAGCCGCCGTAGAGCGCGAAGCGGTAGAACGCGAACGCGTCGCGCGGCGCGGCGCCCCCGAGCGCCGCCAAAACGACGCCGGCCGCGGCGAGGAGCCCGCACGCGAAGACGGCCAGCGTGCCCGCCGCGTCGGCCTTCAGCGCCCCGACGATGCCGCCGCGCGCGCCGAGGATGGGCAGCGCCGCGGCCGCGAGGCCCGCCGCGGCGAGCGCGTGCGTCGCGGCCCGCAGGCCCGTCGCCGCGGCCTCCAAATCGTCGCAGGACGTCGCGCCCGCGCCGTAGGCCGCGTCCGCCCGGTCCAGGGAGAGCGCGCCGACGGCCGCGGCGAACATAAAACCGACGACGGCCGCGTTGACGAGGTTGTTCGACCGCAGGAGCCGCGCGCGCCTCCCGTCGCGCAGGGCCTCGGCGACGACGGACCGCCGCAGCAGCGCCGACGCCTTCCGCGGCGTCCGCGCGGCGATCTCGAGGAACCGCAGCAGCCGCGTCCAGCGGAGCGCGGCGACGGCCTGGAGCCGCATGGCCGCCACGGGCGCGACGACGAGGAAGCAGGACAGCATGCGCTCCTGTGCCGAAACCAACCACTGGTTTGGGTGGTCCTGACCAAACTTGAGAATTCTCTAGCTCGGTCAAATCGACGTCGATTCGGCTGATTTTTGGACGGATCGATCGCTCTCGTCGAGTTCTCGAAGCTCAGCCGAAGAGCTTGTGTCAAAACGTTCGAATACGCTCATATTGAAGTCGGGTTGAAGATTTGGTTTCGGCACAGATGCGCTCGTAGTACTCGACGCGGCACGCGTCGCCCGAGCTCGCCGCGAGGCGCCGCCGCCGGTCCGGGGGCCGCAAAGCCTGCCAGGCCGACGCGAGCTCGAGCGCCGCGGACGGCACGAGCAGCAGGCGCAGCGCGGGGTTCCCGGGCCCGCCCCCGGGGGCCGCGGACGCGAAGGAGAACGACGTCGACGTCGACGCCGTCGCGCCGCTCGCCGACAGCGCGCCCACGGTCGCGACGGCCGTGCTCGCGGCGACGACGCGGCTCGTCTGCGTTGCCACGTCCGTCTCGACGGCGACGAGTGCCTCCTCGGCCTCGGGGAGCGGCGTGGGGAGCGGCGACGGCAGCGGCGACGGCAGCGGCGAGGGAGCTCCGGAGGTCGGGAGCCGCGACGAGGGCGCCTCCGAGGACGGCGACCGCGACGGCGCCGACGAGGGAGCGTTCGAGGACGGCGCCGACGAGGGAGTGTTCGAGGACGGCGACCGCGACGGCGTCGACGAGGGAGCGGTCGTGGGCTCCGGCTTGGGACCGGCCGTGGGCTCCGGCGAGGGCTCCGGCTTGGGACCGGCCGTGGGCTGCGCCGTGGGCTCCGGCGTTGGACCGGCCGTGGGCTGCGCCGTGGGCTGCGCCGTGGGCTCCGGCGTTGGACCGGCCGTGGGCGGCGCCGTGGGCTCCGGCGCGGGACCGGCCGTGGGCTCCGGCGTGGGCTCCGCCGTGGGCTCGGGCTCGGGCGCGGCGGTGGCGTCGGCGACGCACGAGTTTTCGTACCAGGTGATCGAGTCGCTCTCCCAAGACGCGGCGAGGATGTCCACGTCGCCGTCGAGATCCACATCGGTCGCGAAGACCTGGATGGTGTTGGACGTGGTCGAGTCGATGACGTGGTGAGCGAACGACTGGGACCCGTCGTTCTCGTTCCATCCGGGGTGGTCGTCGAACGCCGCGTCCGCAACATCGACGTCCGAGTCCCCGTCGATGTCGATGGCGAAGACCCAGTGCGCCTGATTCGTCTTTATGAACGGGTGCATCGTGAAGGACTGGGACCCGTCGTTCTCGTACCACGCGAGCGTGTCGTCTGACATGGACGCCGACAGCACGTCCACGTCGCCGTCGCCGTCGACGTCGATCGCAAAGACGCTCGTGGGGTCGAAGACCGTCGTCGTGATGGTTAACCCGTTGAAGAGGTCGGAGGAGGCGGCGGTACGCGTCCAAAGCTCGACGGCGTCGCCGTACTGCGCCGCGACGAGGACGTCGACGTTGCCGTCGTCGTCGACGTCCGTCGCGAAGACGCTCCGGGGACCCAATACGTTCGAGACGACGCGCTCGGTGAAGGCCCCGGACCCCTCGTTCTCGTGCCACGCAACAACGCTCGACGCCAAGGCCGCGGACACGACGTCGATGTCGCCGTCGCCGTCGACGTCGACCGCGACGACGGAGTACGCGTCCACCGTGGTCGAAAGGGAACGTTTCGTGAACGACTGCGCCCCGTCGTTTTCGTACCACGCGACCGTATCGGGGCCCAACTTGTTCGCCTCGACGACGTCCGCGTCGCCGTCGCCGTCGACGTCGGCCACGACGACGCAGGCCGCCTGCGACGCGAGCGTCGTGACGACGCGCGTCGCGAACGATTCCCGCCCATCGTTCTCGTACCAGGCGACCGTGTCGTCCTCGAATGACGCCGACAGCACGTCGACGTTGCCGTCGCCGTCGACGTCCGTCGCGAAGACGGACTCGGCGCCGTCCGCGGCTCCGTCGATCTGGCGCGCGGCGAAGGACGCGCTCGCGCAGTCGAGCGTCGGCTGCGGCGTCGGCTGCGGCGTCGGCGGCGACGGCGCGCCGCAGTCGTTCTCGTACCACGCGACCGTGGAGTCGTAGCGCGACGCCGCGAGCGCGTCGACGTCGCCGTCGCCGTCGACGTCGGCCGCGAAGACGGAGCGGGCGCCGTCCGCCAGCGTCGTGATGATTTGCTCGGTAAAGGACTGGGCCCCGTCGTTCTCGTACCCCGCGATCGTGTCGTCGTTGAGGGACGCCGACAGGACGTCGACGTCGCCGTCGCCGTCGACGTCGATCGCGAAGACGGACAAGGCAGTGTCCGCGAGCGTCGTGATGACACGTCCTTCGAACGACTGCGAGCCGTCGTTCTCTCTCCACACGATGCTGTCATCGAAGCGGTCGGCGACGAGCAGGTCCATGGAGCCGTCGGAGTCGACGTCGATCGCGAAGACCGCGCGCGGCGAGCTGCTCTGGCTGACCCGACGGGAGACCCAGGACTGCGCCGCGTAGCTCTCGTACCAGTAGACGGAGCCGACGCCGCTCGTCGCGCACCCGGCCGCGACGACGTCCAGGTCGCCGTCGCCGTCGACGTCGGCCGCGGAGACGGCGCACGCCTCGTCCAACCAGTAGTCGATCAGGAACGTCCGACTAAAGCCGCCGTCGTTCTCGTACCACTCGACCTCGTGGTCGTCGTTCGACGCGGACACGACGTCGACGTCGCCGTCGCCGTCGACGTCGACCGCGACGAGGTCCGCCGCGCCGTCGGCCAACGTCGTGATGACGCGCTCCGCGAACGACTGGGCGCCGTCGTTCTCGTACCACGCGACCTTCTGGTCGATGCCCGACGCCGACGCGAGGTCGACGTCGCCGTCGCCGTCGATGTCGGCGGCCACGGCGGCGCGCACGTAGTCCGCCGACGTCGTGACGACGCGCGCGGAGAACGACTCGGCGCCGTCGTTCTCGTACCAGGACACGGCGTCGTCGAACCAATCCGCCGCGAGGACGTCGAGGTCGCCGTCGCCGTCGATGTCGTGCGCGACGACGTGCTCGGGCTGGTCGCCGACCGTCGACACGACGCGCTCGGCGAATCTGACGGTCGCGCACCGAGCCGTCGGCCGCGGCGTCGGCGCCGCCGTCGGCGCCGGCGTCGGCGCCGCGATCGCGCAGACCGTGCCGCCGTAATCGCAGGAGCCCGAGGTCGGCAAAGCGTAGCAGGAGATGCCGGAGCTCTCCTGCACCGAGCAGAATTCCATGTCAGTCATCGTTGCGTCGTAGTAGTCGCACGCGCAGGCCGGGACGCCATCGTCGTCGTCGGCGTCGGTGAAGCGCGGCAGGAGCGCGCCGAAGAGGACGAGCCTCGTCGCTCCACTCAAGAAGAAGCACGCGAGCCTCATCGTCACTCGCAGATCCTCACTCCCATCTCCATGGCCGGAAGAGGGAGCAGCCCTCGTCCATAGACGTCCATCGATGCGAAAAACCTGGGTTCTTGACTTCAAGGTGCCGTAGGAGAGTGTGGCCAGTCAAGCTCTGGCAATCGCAAACGCGCTCTCACACATGGACGAGTTCGGCCGCGAGCGCGCGCGGAGCCCGCAGCGCTGGCGGCCGCGCAGCCGCTCGCTCAGTTACAGCCGGAACGAGGGCTTCCGGCGGCGCGACGAGCGGTCGCGGTCGCGGTCCGCGCCGCGGCGCCGCGACGACCGGCGCAGTCCGCGGCGGCGGAGCCGGTCGCCGCCGCCGCGGCGCCGCGATCCGGACGACGGCTACGGCCCGCGGCGGAGCCGGTCGCCGCGGCGGCGCTCGGACAGCCGGCGCCGCCGGTCGCGGTCGCCGCGGCGGGCCGAGCCGCGGCGTCGGTCGCGGTCGCGGTCGCCGCGGCGCGGCGAGGCCCGCCCGTACCGCGACCGGCCGCCGTCGCCGTACCGCGGCGGCGGCGGCGCCGGACCGCCGCCGCGCGCGCACCGCGCGCCGCCGCCGCCGCCCGCGCCCGCGCGGCCGAAGACGGAGATGGACCTCTACCTCGAGAGCATCGGCATCGACAACCCGGGCCTCCGGCCCATGATCGAGCGCATGGACGACGAACACGCCAAGGATTTCGTCGAGAAGCTCATCATGATCGGCCGCTTCCCGCGCGGCAAGGTCAAGGATCTCATCGACACGCTCATCCGCATGCAGCACAAGATCAAGAGCCCCGCGGCCTGGCTCATGACCTCCATGCGCAAGGAGCAGCCCTGCCGCTTCTTCGTCCTGACGGGCGTCTGCCAGGCCGGCATGAACTGCAAGTACAAGCACACGCGCGACGTCCCCGAGGGCTGGGACGGCGCGAATTTCTAAATGTGAAAGTTCTCGGCCGCGGCGCGGCGCGCTCGCGGCTGTGAGGAGGGCTTCGGAACTTTGCAGGAGGAGGGGGCACCGCGCCACAGGGCGCCGAGTACCGCCACGCCGCCGCGTGGCGAGTCTCGGGCGGAGGCCTAGGAGGCCGTAGCCTACGGCGTAGGAGGCCCGAGACTCGGCGACGGCGATCAGTGGCAGATCTGCACCGATCTCGACGAGGAGGAGCAAGTCGATGGACCCCGCATTCAAGGACCCGGCGCTCGCCGCCAAGAAGTTAGAATACGAGCAACGGAAAGCCCGGGCGAAGGAAGCACGGGCCCGTCTCACCTGCACGATCTGCGGCGCCAAGTCAAAGCTCCCGTGCCCCTGTGGAACAACGCAATATTGCTCGGTCGCCTGTCAAAAGGTCGATTGGCGCGATCGGGGCCACCGGAAGGCGTGCAAGAAGATCCGGGACGAGCGGGCGGCGGAGGAGGCGCGGGCGGAAGCGCCGCCGTCGCCCCCGCAGCAGGTCGTATACGGCCCCGCGCCGCGTTCGCACGCCGACGAGGTCCGCGCTCGTATCGCCGCCGAGCACGAGGCCGCCCGCGCGCTTCGCGAGGCGAACCCGAAGCCGGAGCCGGAGTCGGCGCGGTACGGGTCGCGGTGCCCTTTCTGCCTCGAGGACTGGGACGTGAATGAAAATCTTCATGTTCGTGCTTGTTGCTGCCGGAGGATTTGCCTGTCGTGCTTTAAAAAGACCGTCAAACAAGCGTGTCCTCTCTGTCGCGCGCCGTGGGAAGTGGATGAACTGGCGATGATTCGACGAAACGCCGAGCGGCTCGTTCCCGAAGCAATTACTCATTTGGCGGGCAGTTACCGTAACGGAGACTACGGCCTCGTGAAGTCTGCTAAGAAGGCGGCGAAGATTTACAAGCGCGCCGTCGAGCTCGGGGACACGGACGCGATGAACAGTCTTGGACTCATGTACATGACCGGAGAGTTCAAGCTGGACAAGAAGAAGGCGGTGCAGCTGTTTCGGATGGCCGCGGACAGGGGTCAAGCAGTGGCCCAGAAAAATCTTGGACTCGCCTACTGGACTGGAGAAGGTTGCTCTCAGGACCTGGACGAGGCGAGAAGATGGCTCACGCTCGCAGCCGCACAGGGCCTCAATGAGACCAAGACGATGCTCGCGGACCTCGAAAAGTAATCTGGCGCGAACGCGGCGTCCGACGGCGCTTTCGTTACTTCCGATGACGAAACACATGTTCTTTGCCCTGAATCGAATGAAGACAAAAACTCGTCTACAAATCCAAGGAGACTACCGTAGCCTCGTTCGCCCGCTCGCTTGACGTGGCGCACGCCCGACTCTTTACGATCGTAGGCACCGGCGCGCTGTTGTGACGATGATCGCGCCCCCCCGTGTCCAATATCTCCTCGCAGCAACTCCAAGGACGAGACCAAAATATGGTTAAGATCTGAGAGACCATGACGACCGAAACTGTTGAAATAGGACTCCGAGGAGAGAGACACCGAACCGCGCTCGCCTCGCTTTATCGACGCGCGTTCGACCTTGGACAACCATAGGCACGCACCACCGCTAGGTAGCTCGCGACGTAAAACTTAGTTCCATCCTCGTCTCATGGGCACGACGTCCCGGATGGGCGGCGCGCCCTCGTCGACGATGGCCTGGCTCCGGGCGACGACGACGGAGTGCCGGTCGTGGGACGCGCGGACGACGTCGTCCGGCGGCGGGCCCGGCGGCGGCGGCGGCGGCCGCGCGCGCGGCGACGAGTGGCGCCGCGCGGCGTCGTCGCCGTCGCCGTCGTCGTCCGGCGCGTCGAGGCGCCGCGACGGCGCGCGGTACGACGCGGGCGGCGGCGTGACGACGACGTGGGGCGACGGCGGCGTCGCGAGGGCCGCGAGCGCGTCGCCCGCGGCCCTCGTCCAGTCCCGCGCGAGCCCGAAGAGCAGCGACACGCGCACGCGGCCCTGGCCCGGCACGACGATGGCCAGGTCCTTGGTCGCCGCGCGCTTCGACTCCGGCGCGTCGACCTCGAGCGTCCGCAGGTCGCAGTCCTTGCACTTCAAAGAGTCCGCGTCCACGTAAAAGAGCCGCGGCGCGTCCGTGAGCACCAGCGCCTTGAGCTGGGTCCAGAGCTTCTGCTTGCGCTTGAAGATGGGCCCGTGGAGGAGCACGCGCTCGTCGCGCTTGATCGCCGGCAGCTTCGCGTAGTCCAACCCTTCCAGCGCCGCCCGCGCGGCCTCGGCCAGCGTCGCGTCCTTCTTGTCGCGCAGGGGGGCGAGGAGGGGCTTGAGGGACCGCGGGTGCCGCAGACACCCGAGCGCTGCGCACGCCGCCCTTTTCACCAAAGGCTCGCGGTCGAGGCGCAAAGCGTCGTGGAGCGCGTCCACGGCCAGGTCGTCCTCCTGGAGCGCGCCGAGCGCGCGCGCCGCCGCGGCGCGCACGACGCGCTCGTACGCGCGGCAGTCCGCGGCGTCCGCGGGCCCTCCCGCGAGCGTGCCCGGCTTCGCGCGCAACCGCGCGGCGACGGACCGGGCCAGGTCGCGCTTGAAGGGCGCGTCGACGAACCCACCGAAGCTCTGCGCCGCGGCGTCGCGCGTCGACACGTCCTTGTCGCCCAGCGCGCCCAGGAGCGCGCGGCCCGCGGCCTCGTCGGTGCCGAAGGGCCTCAAATTGAACGCGCACGCGGCGCGGACGTCCGGCGACGGGTCGCGCGCCACGAGGCGCAGCAGCCCCCGCTTCAGGCACGCCCCGCCGCAGGCCGTCGCGCCGACGACGTCCGCCGCCGCGACGCGCGCGTCCGCGTGGTCCGCGTCGTCGAGCGCCGCCGTGAGCGCGGCGTCGAGCTCCCGCGCGGACCCGTCGTACTTGCCCGCCTGCTTGCGCAGCGCCCGCAGCGCCGCCAGGCGCAGGGCCGCCGGCAGCGCGGCGACGGCGCCCGCGGACGCGCAGAGCGCGTCGACGACCAATTTCGGGCAGTCGTCGCGGTCGCCGAGCGCGTCCGCGGCTCGCCCCCGGTCCTCCAGGTCGCGCGCGTCGCAGAGCACGGACACCAACACGGCCGTCGCCTTGGGCCCGGGCACCAGCAGCAAGCGCCCGCAGTCGCCCGCGTCGCCCTGGACGACGTCGCGCCAGCGCCGCTCGCGGCTCACGGAGTCCAAAGCCGCCGCCGCCGCTTTCCGCACGGCGCGCTCCGCGTCGCCGAGGCGCACCGCGAGCGCCGCCTTGAGCGCCGCGACCTCCGGGCCCGCGAAGTTCTGCCGCCGGAAGACCTCGCCGAGCGTCGCCGCGGCCAGCGACCGCACGGCGGGCCCGCCGTCGACCAAACAAACGCACCGCAGCGTCTTCGCGCGCCCCAAAGTGCCCAGCCACGCGACGGCCCGGAGGCGGTTGTCGACGTCGCCGTCGCGCGTCGCGACGCGGTCCAGCGCCTCCGCCGGGTCGCCGAGCTCCCCCAGGCACTCGAGCGCCGCGCCCCGATTTTTCGCGTCGCCGTCGGACGCCAGGGCCCGCTCGAGCGGACCGACGCAGCGGTGCTCCTCCGCGTGGGCCCCGAGGCTCCCCAGCGCGGCGATGACGCGCAGCCGCGTCGGCGCGTGGGCGTCGCTCAGGCCGACGGCGAGCTCGGGCACGGCCCGCAGCCGCGCGAGCTGGGCCAAAGCCGCCGCGCGGACGCCGACGTTGCCGTCGCGCCGCGCCGCGGTCCGCAGCGCGTCGACGGCCGCACCGTACCAGGGCCCGCAGCGCGGCACGGCGTCGAAGGGGAGATACTGGACGTCATCGACGCGCTCGGGCATGGCCGGCGCGCCGCAGGGGAGCTCCGTCGCCGCCGCGAGCGCGTCCGCGGTTTGTGCTGTGCTGCCTTGCGACCTCCTCACCGCCACATCCCCCAGCAGCCGCGCGGCCGACGCCCGCAGCTCCGCGTTGCGGTCGTTGAAGCCCCGGCGGCAGATGCCGTCTAAATCGTCCAGCCGCGCCATCCAGTGGAGCGCCTCGCCGCGGATGCCCGCGTCGTCGTCGCCCGAAAAGACCAGCTCCCGCAATTCCGAGAGCGCGCCGTTCGCGCCGAGCGCGTCGACGGCCCGGCGCCGCACGGCCGTCGAGCTGTCGAAAATAGCGATGCGCCGCAGGCTGTCGACGGCGCGGAGCTCGCCCGCGACGGCCACGAGCGCCTCGCGGACGCTCTCGGACCGCTGCGCCTGCATGCCCTTCTCGAGCGGCGCGGCCAACAGCGCGGGCCGGCGCGCCGGCAGCGCGAGGAGCGTGCCGCGCAGCTTCGCCGCGACGCCCAACAGCACGCCCTCCTCCAGGCTCACGTCCTCGAGCGCCTTCATGAGCGACACCGCGAGCGAAAACCGGCGCCGGAGCGCCGTCGCGGCGTCGCGGAGCACGCCGGCCTCGAAGGCGCCGTCCTCGGCGAGCGCGGCGAGGACGCGCCGCCGCACGGGCGGCGCCTCGTCGTCCATGGCGAAGTGGGCCAGGTCCAGGGACCCCAACAGCGCCGCGCAGCGCACCGCTTCCACGCGGACGGACACGTCCTCGTCGTAGAGCGGCCGCACGAGCGCGAGCAGGGCCCCGACGCCCGCGGCGTCGTCCGCGACGCCCGCGGCGGCGACGCTGTCGCCCAGGAGCGCGACGGCGCCGCGCCGCGCGGCGACGGCGCCCGAGTTCGACGCCAGTAGCGCGAGCGTCGCCGCGCGGCCCTCGTCGAGGGGCCGGCCCGGCGCGGGCGGCGGCGGCGCGGGCGGCGGCGCGCGCTGCCTCGGCGGCGTCGCCTGGGGCGGCGGCGGCGGCGAACTTTCGAGCGCGGACAGCACGCGGCCGACCTCCTCGTCGCGATCCGCGGGCGTCAGCGGCGGCGGCGGCGGCGCGGACGGCACGGGCGGCGCCGACGGCCGCGGCGCGGATGGCCGCGGCGCGGGCGCGGGGCCGCCGGCGACGGGCACGGCCAGAGCGATGGGGAAGGCCGAGATGGAGCCGTCGCGGTCGAAGCGGAACGACTCGACGCGCGCGACGTCCGCGAAGAGCGGCGCCTCCGGGATCGCGACCTCGGCCGTCGGGATCGCCGGCTCCGGCGCCGGCCGCCCGCCGGGCACGACGCGCCGCAGCAGCGCGCTCAGCCGCCCGCGGCGCCGCTGCTGCTGCGCCGAGTTGCCGCCGCGCGCGACGCGGCGCACGGTGACGACCTCGGCCTCGAGGTGCGCCTCGTTGACGGCGACGGACGCGCGCGCGGCGACGTCGTCGCGGTCCGCGGCCGCCGCCACCGCGCGGCGCCGGGCCAGCGCGCCCCGGAAGGCGCTCTGGGCGACGACCGTGGCTTGCGCGCGCCGGTGCTCCTCGAGGCGCCGCCGCCGCTGGAGGCTCGTCACGCGCCGCGACGCGCACTGCACGCGCAGCGTCGCCGCGAGCACCTCCGTCGCGCGCGCGCGCACGTCGCGGCGGCGCGCGCGCGCGTCGAGCGCCGCGAGCCGCCGCCGGCCCTCGCTCTGGATGAGGATCGCCGCCGTCGTCCGCTCGCGCTCCTCGCCGAAGGGCGCGACGGCCTCGCCCTCGTCCATGGACCGCGAGCTCTCGAGGAACGCGGGGCAGCTGCCGCGGCGGAGCTTCGCGCGCCTCTGAGTCGGGGGGGTCGAGGTCTGGAGCGGCGGCGGCGGCGGCGGCGGCGGCGCCTCGTCCTCCGACACCCGCGCGTCTTCCAAAATCGCCGGCGGAGCGGCGACGACGACGGGCTCCGGCGGCGGCGCGATGACGACGGGCGACTCTTCCACGACGGGCTCCGGTGCTTCTGTCGCGACGGGCTCCGATGCGGCGACGACGGGCTCTGAAGTTACAGTCGTCGTCGCTTCTTCGGCCGCGGGCTCCGCCGCGGCTTCCGCTGCGAAAACCGGCTCCGCCGCGGCTTCTTCCAAAATCGGCTCCAGCGCGTCCGCCACCGCCTCCGCCACCACGGGCGCCGCTTCGAAAATCGGCGCTCCCGCCGCGGGCGTCGCCGCCGCTTCCGTCGCTTCTGCGGCCGGCGCCGGCTCGTCCGCGTCGTCCGAGGGCTCGTCCGCGGGCTCCGGCGGCGCCTCCGTCGCGGCCGCGCAGGCGGACGGCTCCGCGGCGGGCTCCTCCGCCGCGCTGCTGCGCGCCGACAGGTCCGCGTCGCGCGGCACGGCCGCGGTGTCGGCCGTCGACGCCGACCCCGCCGCGGAGCCGCCGCTCTCGCGCGTCTCCGCGTCGCCCAGCAGCGCGGCTCGGGCCTCGTCCGTGTCCGGCGCGTCGACGGGCGGCGGCTCCACGGTCTCCACGGCGGCGCTCGCCTCGGCCCAGGTCTCCGTGACGATGTTTTGCTTGCTCCGCGATTTTTGCGTCTTTGGCCGCTGGCGCGGCGGCGGCGGCGGCGGACGCCAATTGGGCGGCCGCACGGACATGCTCCCGAGGTGTCGACGCTCCCAATCGACGCTCCCAAGGAGGCAAGCCGACTGTTGCCGACGAGCTGCGCCGCGGCGTCCGGAGCCGACGAGTGAGACAACTTTTGGGCAAGCTCTGCGAATCGAATTGTTGCCGTCGCCTAATTCTTCACGTCGGAACGCTCCGCGCGCGCGTCGGGACGCGGGCTGCGCGCCAGGTGCGCCCAACTCGGGGCGGGCTCCTGATCGGGGTCGAGGACCCACACGCCCTGGACCGCGCACGTCTGGCCGCCCAGGAGGTTGGCCCACGACGGGGAGCTGTCCGTGCAGCAGTAGAGCGACCCGAAGAGGTACGCCACGCCGTTGCCCGCGGCGAGCTTGCGGAAGGCGCCCAGCGTCTGGGAGCAGTGGTGGCCCACCTCCTCGGCGGTGCCGACCGGGATCGTCCCCGTGACGTTGATGCCGATGCACGGCTCCGGCCATCCAGCCGAGCGTGCCAGCGCGTCGGCGACGCGACGGGCCGACGGCCGTGCCGTCGCAGAAGACGCTCAAGTTCAACAAGAAGCCGGCCACGATGCAGAAGAAGCTGCCGAACTGGAAGCTCGACAAGCCGGACAAGCCCCCGCCGCCGCCCGTCCGGACGTCGGCCGTCGTCGGCGGCCCGCGCGCGGGCGCGGACCGCGCGGACGCCGGCCAAGCGCGCGCCGGACGTCGACGACGCCCTCCGCGCCGCCGAGGCGAAGCGCAAGAAGCCGGACATGGGCCTGGGACCCGCCAGACATCTCCGGCGCCGCGCGACGACGGCGACGCGCGCTCGCAGCGCGTTCTCGGACCCCCGGCGAGGCTAGGGTTAGGTTGGGAGGAGCTCGAGGCAGAGCGACGCCCTCCGCCAAATCGCCGAGTCCCCGCACTTTGCACGACAGCCCTCGCCACCATGTCGATCCTCGCGCCCAAGGAGGAGGACATCCAGAAGATGCTGAGCGCCCAGTGCCACATCGGCACGCGCAACAGCGACCACATGATGGAGGAGTACATCTGGCGCCGCCGCCAGGACGGCATCCACATCATCAACGTGGGCAAGACGTGGGAGAAGCTCATGCTCGCGGCCCGCGTGCTCACGGCCATCGAGAACCCCCAGGACATCATCGCCATCTCGGCGCGCCCCTACGGCCAGCGCGCGGTCCTCAAATTCGCGCAGTACACGGGCGCGGCGTCGATCGCGGGCCGGTTCACGCCGGGCACGTTCACGAACCAGATCACGAAGCAGTTCAAGGAGCCGCGCATCCTCGTCATCACGGACCCGCGCACGGACTCCCAGGCCGTCAAGGAGGCCTCCTACGTGAACCTGCCCGTCATCGCGTTCTGCGACTCGGACTCGCCGTGCCAGCACGTCGACGTCGCGATCCCGTCGAACAACAAGGGCAAGCTCTCCATCGGCCTCCTCTACTGGCTCCTCGCCCGCGAGATGCTCCGCATGCGCGGCACGGTGGCCCGCCACGCGCCCTGGGACGTGCCCGTCGACCTCTTCTTCTACCGCGACCCCGAGGAGCTCGAGAAGGCCGACGAGGCCCAGGCCTTCGCGGCCGAGCAGGAGGGCGGCGCCCAGCAGTGGGCCGGCGCCGAGGCGCCCCCGAAGGAGCAGCCCTACTCCGAGCCCGGCGCCATGGAGGGCTTCGCCGCGCCCGCCGCGCCCGAGGCGGGCTTCGGCGCGCCGCCGATGCCCCCCGCCGCGCCCGACGCCGCGCCGGCCCAGAACTGGGACGGCAACGCGCCCAACGCGGGCTGGGACCCGGCCGCCAACAACCAGACCTGGGGCGCCTAGACCCCCGGCACCGCGCACTCCAAAAACATCGTCGAGTCCCTACTTTCGACCCCACCCCCGCCGCGCGGCGCTCCCCCTCCTCCTAGTCTGTAAGCTCACGGACCTCCCGGCGCGAGCCGCGGACGGTCCATCACCACGATTACCCGACGACCCCGAGCAGCTCCCGCTCGACGTGGCTCGCGACGGCCGCGTCGATGTCGTCGGCCGCGGGGAAGCCCATCGCCGTCGCCTTGGACACGTCGAAGTGCGACGGCCAGGACCCGACGATGGCCGCGACGTGCGGGTCCGGCACGAAGTCCACGAGGGACCGGTCGCCGCCGTGCCGCTCCAAACTCGCGAGCATATCGTCGATCGACACGGAGATGCCCGGCGCGTTCACGCAGCGGTAGTCCCCAAAGGCGTCGCCGTCGACATAGAGCCCGTGCACCAGGGCGCGGACGGCACTGTCCGGGCTCGCGAGCCAGAGCACGGACGAGGGATCCAGCGGGCACATCGCGCGGACGCCGCTCAGCGGCTCCCGGAGAATCCCGCTCGCGAACCCCGACGCGGCCTTGTTCGGCGCGCCCGGCCGCACGCTAATGGTCGGCAGGCGCAGCGTGCGGCCGTCGATGAAGCCCTTTCTTGAATAATCGTTGACGAGCAGCTCGCCGATGGCCTTTTGCGTGCCGTAGCTCGACGCCGGCGTCGTCGGCGACTCGTCCGTCGCGAAGGGCGTCGCGCCGAAGACGGCGAGCGACGACGTGAAGAGCACCGTCGGCGGCCGCGCCGGCGCGGACCGGCAGCGCTCCAGCAGCTTCGTCAGCCCGGCGACGTTGACGCCGTAGCCCAGGTCGAAGTCGAGCTCCGCGCCGGAGCTCACGACGGCCGCGAGGTGCACGACGGCCTTTGTGTCCGCCGTGATGGCCGCGTCGAGCGTGGCCTCGAGGTCGCCCTGGATGAAGGTGCCGTTCGCCGGCACCGCGGCGGGCTCCACGAGGTCGCACATGACGACGCGCTCGCCGCGCCGCGCGAGCACGTTGGCTAGCCGCTGGCCCAGGAAGCCGGCGGCGCCGGTGATGGTGATGGACATGCTTATTTACGCGTGGCTCGTGCAACGATGGCTGGCGCCGGCGCGCGCACGCGACGACGGCGGTGGTGATTAGTCGAGCGCCAGTGGCAGTGAGAGCGCCGATCGTGCACTTCAACCTGAGGTTCAAGTCGTCCCTCGCAGCTAGGCCTCACTAATAAAATCTCTGTTCGTACTTCAAGTCGACTCCCTCGCAGCTAGGCCTTACTATTTGCGCCAGGACGCCAGCATCGCCTGCCACTTCGCGTCGCGCGTCGGCCCGCGCGCGTGCCGGAGCGCCGCGCGCTTGTCGTCGTCGTCCTCCTCCTTGAGCGCGTCGTATTCCTGGAGGCGCGGGAGGAAGTCGACGGGCGTGTCCGGCGCCGCGAAGTCGCCGATCGCCGCCGCGACGTCGTCGGGCAGCGCGCCGGCGGCCGCGTCCGTGGCCGGCTTCGCCGCGCGCGCGTCCTTGATGCGGAGCCACTGGAAGAAGCCGCGCGGCCGGTCGTTCTTCCCGAGGGGCCCGACGGCGGCCTCGTCGTCCGCGGCGGCGCGCAGGATCTGGGCGCGGAGCCAGCCGCGGTGCTTGTCCTCGTAGCGGCATCCCGCCGTCTCGAAGAGGCACGCGAAGAGGCCGGCGAGCACGGAGCCCTTGACGACCGTGCGGCCGTAGCCGAAGCCGTAGCCGTCGTCGTCGCCGCCCTCGTCGTCGTAGCGGTTGTTGTCCATGGCGTAGGACGCCAGGGCCACGGCGACGCGCGCGCGGCCGGCGACGTCGCACGCGCGCCAGACGCAGCCGCCGCACTCGACCATCTTCTCGAGGAGCGCGACCGCGTGCTGCGACGCGACGCCCTGCGACGCCTCCTCGAGCGCCGCGTCGACGACGCCCGGGGCGTCCTCGAAGGGATCGAAGCCGGGGAGGCCCGCGCGCACGCCGGCGGCGAGGCCGGCGACGTGCGTGTAGGCGAGCGACGGCGCCGGCGCGAGCGCGTCGCCGCAGCACTTGCGGACGTAGGGGCAGGCCCAGAGCTGCATCGCGCGGCCCATCGCGGCGTTGCCGACCTCGCCGCGCCGGATGCGGCCCCGGCCGTCGTGGGCGCTCGACATGGACTGCCGGCCCTGGACGGTCGAGGCGACGACGACGTTAAAGTAGATGTAGCAGTACTTCATGCTCGGCTTGCTGCCGCCGAAGCCGCCGAAGCCGCCGAGCGTCTGCGCGTCGTGCGCGATGAGCGTCTCCGCCGCGGCCCGGGCGGGCCCCGGCTCCATGTCCTCGAGCGCGTCCTCGCTGGGGACGCCGAGCGGGAACCAGCGCCGCTCCTTGCGCTCGATGTCGTTGAGGAGCCAGTCGTCGAAGAGGAGGTGCGAGGCCATGCCCGGCGCGGCCCAGAGCCGGTCGAAGAAGCCGTCGTCGGCGTGGAAGATGAGGCCCCGCCCCAGCGTGTGGATCTGCATCTCGACGTTGCCGTCGCCGTCGGCGCCGGCGTCGAAGAGCGCGCGGAGCCGCGCCATGAGCAGCGCGGTCGTCGCGTCGCCGCCGGCCTGGAGCGACCGCGCCAGGGCATTGAAGCACGCGGCCATGCCCAGCGCGGCGATGCCCGCGGCCTCGTCGTCGTCCACGTGGCGGCAGCTCCGCTTGTGGAGCGGCCAGTGCGCCTCCTGGTGCTCCTTGGACGCGTAGAACGTCCGCTTGCACCGCGCGCACCGCAGCAGCGGGACGCCCGTCGCGTACGTCCGGGCGCAGCACCGCGTCGTCGCGAACTCCACGGGCTCGAGGCGCGCGAGCTGCGCCTCCGTCGACGCCTTCTCGCGCTCCCGCTCCGCGGCCTCCTTCGCCGCCACGGCCTGGATCCAGGCCCGCGCCTCGGGCAGCACGACGCCTTTATCTTCGAAGGCGTCGTCGCCCTCCTCACCGAGGCCGCGCCAGTGCCGCGCCGCGCGAATCAGCGCCTCGCGACTGCCATCGCCGACGCTCTGCCCGCGTTCCTTGAGCCAGGCTTCCAGGAGGCCCTCGTCGGCGGCGTCGTGGATCCACTTGATCTCAAAGTCGCGCCCCTGCACGGTGCGACCTCCCAGCGTCGGCCTGTCGAGCCGCCACATTGCGCAGCGTCGCAGAGACTCGCGTCGCCGCGGGCGATTACGGAGAGGCCGGCGCTCTCGATCAAGATCAGGATGATCAAGAAGAGATCAAGAAGCCCGCGATCCACCACCGGCTACGGCTGCGAATGAGCCGTCGTTGAACAAGCACATCTATGAAGCAATGATGCAGTAATCCGTAGCTAAGAGACGGTGTATCGTGCGAGCATTTCAGCGGCCGATGATGGAATCTCCACCTTAGAGGACCCCGCGCTCCTCGAATATGCAGCGACGTGCAACGATCCCAGTGGATTTGAGGTCCGCAAACATGTGGGTGAGGCACATGAAAAGACGCGACATCCGGACGATTGCGAGGCGACGCAAACGGGCAGCCCCAGGGGGTGGAATGGGGCGGGGCAGCTTCCCCCGACCCGATTTTCGTTCCCCTTCGAGTCACAGAGCGTCGGGAATCGTTCGTTATGAGGGCGATCAGATGCCCTCGCGGCAGCTCTTCGGCTCGAGCGGATTTGATCGAGATCACCTGACCGCCTCCGGGAGGCGCGCGGCGCCGCCGGCGACACGGTGCTCACCGCGCAATGCATGAGGCGTTCGGTGCGTTAGGACCGAGACAGTGCCCTCGGGAACATCATTCCAGGGGGTGTCTCTTCGAAGTCTAACGCACAGCTCGACCCCTGGAACTAAGTTGGGCCCCTCGTCGGTCGCCCCCCACCGTTAATGGCCGTTCTCGTCATCCACGGGCTGTCCCGACGCGAACTAAGTTGCTCGCCTTCGACCGATGGTCTTTCCCGAGCGACTCGCAGCCGGGCCCGAGGCGCGGCAAGGTCCACAGACCGAGCGCCGCGCCAAGTCCTGGAACCGCTGCATCGCGCGTCCGAGCCCGGAGCGAGGCGATGCCGTGACGTAAAAACTTCACGGCTTCGCTGCTCTTTGAACCGGTCAACTTTAGCTTAGCCGGCAGTGCGCCGGCGACTCGTGACACGCGACGCGCGAGGCCTCGCGGCGAGTCGCGCGCGCGCGCCGCACGTCTCGAAATCGAGCACCAGTTAAACCACGCGCGCCCTCACGGCGCGCCGACCTGGCGCTGGCGCCGGTGGATGTCCCAGTAGGGCGGCTTCTTCGTCCAGGAGCGCTGGGTCTCCTCGTCCGCGTCCGCGTCGCGGGCCGCGGCGCCGAGGCCCGGCTGGACGATGCGCGTGGGCTTGTCCGGCGCGTCGAGGTCGCGGAAGGCGAAGGCGCCGCGCTCGGCGGCGTCGGCGGCCCGGGGCGCGACCGCGCGCGCCTTGGCCGCCGCGCGCATGTCCGCGTCGCGCGCTTCCGCGGCGGCCTTGGCCGCGTCGAGGCGCTCGCTCGCGCGGCGCAGCACCGCCGCCTCGTCGTCGCCGTCCTCGATGAGCTCGTAGCGCGTCGCCGTCGCCAGGATGACGCCCGCGTCGTCGCGGCGGTCGCCGCAGTTCTTCACGGGGACCTTGTACTTGGCGGAGAGCTGCTTGAGGAAATTCGCGGCCTTCTCCTCGAACTCGGCCTGGAGGCCCTCGCCGATGAGCGGCTCGCCGGTCGCGCGCGCGTCGGCCTCGAGGTCCTTGAGCACGAGGATGGCCTTGACGCGGTCCTCGGGCAGCTTCTCCTTCGCGGCCAAGGCTTCGACCGTCCACGTCTCGGGGTCCGCGGCGTGGGCCGCGTGGATGGCGTTCTTCGTGTCGTCGCGCACGAAGCCAAAGTTCAGCGGGCGCGGGTCCGTCACCGTGGCGTCCCAGACGACGGCGCCGGGCTTCGCCTCGAGGCCCGTCGTGCGGGGGCCGCGGCCGTCGCGGCCGGGCGGGCCGCGGCGCGGCGGGCCCCGCTGCCGGCCGGCGCCGTACTCGCGCACGGCGTCGGCGTCCGCGGCGCCGCGGCGCGACGAGAAGCGGCGCAACGTGTTGGTGAGGCGGCGCATTTGCTGGCTTGATGCGGCCATCGTGGTCGCTGGCGAGCTCGCGAGGTAAAGAACTTGTTGCTGCCGTTTGAGAGATGCTGCCGCAGTGCATCGATGCGTGCGGCTTCTCGATGGCTCGAGCATGATGCGAGAGATGCGCTAGCGCTCGCATCATTTATGGCTGCGGTTCGACGATGACGGCATGGCTGCAACTTGTATGAACGACCATGCGGGCAGCAGCCGCCGTGCTCCTGCTGCACATCGCCCATGCCAAGGCCCCGGATCATCATCATGACTTTGCCCTCAACGCGACGCTCACGAACCCCATCGAGCTCGCGTGCCTGAAACAGGTGCGCCTCCGCGGCGACCTGGGCCTCGCGCCCGCGGACCGGTCGCTCTACAGCTACAATCCGTCCGTCCGACGCGTCGACGGCGGCGGCTATCTATACCTCGCTCGGGTGACGAACCTGCACGGCTGCGACGCCGCGCGGGCGGCGAGGCCGGCGACCATCGTCGACGGCCTATTCGCGCTCGCGCTCCTCGACGACGGGCTCTCGATCGTGCCGAGATCCGAGGCGCTGGTGCCCCTCCCCGGGCTCCCGCCGTTCGCCGACTGCCGCCTCGGCCCGCGCGACGCGGTGCTCTGCAACGACGTGATCTTCGCCGTCGCCTTCGAGCGCATCGCGGCCGGACCGCGCTGGGCCTGCGACGCGCGCCTCGAGTGTCCCTCCGGCGCCGCGTCGCTCGATCCGCCGGCGACGTCCGTCGTCGCGGCCGTCGACTTCCGAGACGGCGTCCGCTACGCGTTCTCCGCCCCCGCGCGCCTCGAGGGGCTCGGCGACGGCGCCAAGAACGTGAACCTCTTCGAGCGCGCGGGGAAGCTCTACGCCGAGGCCTACCCGGTCGTGAAGCGCGAAATCCTCGAGCTCGAGAACGGCACGCTACGAGCGGCTCGCGCCTTCGCGCCGCCGGCCGTCGCGGGCGCGCCGCCGTCGCGCCGCGACGTCGACCGCAACTCGCCGGAGCGCGACGCGCAGCTGCGCCGCGTCTGGCACCGCGGTATCCTGCATCGCGCGGAACCTCGCGGCGGCGCGTGCTGCGTCGAGACGGCCGACGCGTTCCTCGGCGTCGGCCACTACCGCGGGCGCGGCTCGCAGTATGTGCTCTTCGCCTACGCGTTCTCGAAAACACCCCCCTTCGCCCTAGCGGCCCTCGGCGAGCCCTTCTGCCTGCCGTCGCGCGACGCGACGCCGCGGCTGCTCGGGAGCGCCTGCCCGCGCATCGCCATGGCCACGAGCATCGTCAAACGCGACGACGACGGCGTCCTCCTGGGCGTCGGCGCGAACGACTCCGCCGCGTACGTCGCCCCGCTCCGCGTCGCCGTCCTCGCGTCGACCCCTGAGGCCCATCGGGCCGCTGCCGGACTAAAGGGAGGCGAAAGATGGCGCTGCGACGATCGGGGCCGGTTATGAACATGGCGACTAGGCCGCCGCGGCCTTGTCGGCGCGGGGGAACTTGAGATAGCGGACGATGTGGGGCGGGAGGACGTCGAGGGGCGTGTGACCCCTGCGGTTCCGGCGCTTCGGGTCCGCGCCGTGCTGCAGCAGCAGATTCGCGAGCTCGACGGACTTGGCGAGGTGGAGCGGCGCGACGCCGCGGTCGTCGGCGGCGTTCGCGTCCGCGCCCCGCAGCAGCAGGAGGTAGGCCGCCTTGAGCGCGCCGGCCTGGGACGCGAAGAGCAACGGCTCCGGCGGCGGGTCGCCGCGCGCGGCCGGGTCCGCCGCCGCGGCGACGTCGAGGAGGAACCGCGTCGCGTTCGCCGCGTCGGACCGCGCGGCGTGCGCCAGGGGCGACAGGCTGGATCGCGCGTCGCGCGCGAGGAGCGCGGCCGCGCGGCCGCCGTCTTTTAGCCGCTGGAGCCAGCCGATGTCGTCGTGGCGCGCGGCGATGGACGCCGCGTCCTTCGAGTGGAGGAACTCGAGGGGCCCCTCCAAGAGGCGGGCGGCGCCCTGCTTCGTGTCCGGCCGGCGGAGCGCGCGGCTACTGAAGACGGCCTCGGCGACGCGGTCGCGCCAGTCCGTCGGCGCGCGCTGCCTCCCGTGCGCCGCGGCCTCGTCGCGCGCCAGGCGCGCGACGACGGCCACGCAGGCCCGCCCGCCGCGGTCCAGGGCGCGCTCGGCCGCCCGGGCCCGCGCGAGGCTGCCCGCGCGGCCCGGCGGCGTCGCGCCCAGCAGCAACCCGTCCAGGAGCGTCGCGTCGTCCGAGACCCCCCGGAACTCGCGGTCGCAGAAGCGGCTCAGCACGTTCTGCGGCGAGCACGCGAGCAGCAAGGGCCAGGCGCCCGGCGCGTCGGCTTTCGTCCACGCGTCCGCGACGACGTCCGCGTCGCGGTTCGACACGAGCTCGAGCCGCTTCGCCCACGGCGGCACGCGCGCGGCCTCCGCGAAGTCGTCTACCGTGCGGCACAGGCTCCGCTCGACGACCGCGCGGCGCGGCCGCACCTCGACCTGGCACCGGACGCCGCCGTTGGGCCCGAGCACGCGCGCGGTCACGCGCTCGTTGCCCGCGAGTTCCAGGTCGAGCCGCGGCCCGCCGCCGCGCGGCGCGACGACGGCCGGGTCGGAGTGCAGCGACGCGGGCGACTCCAACCCCAGCGCGCGCGCCAGCGCCGCCATGAAGTTGGACCGCGTGCTCCGGAGCTGGTACTCGACGTCCGAGTCGTAGACCACGCAGTACTGCACGTTGCCTCCCAAAGAGCTGCAGAGGTCGAACCAGTCCTGGTTCGCGAGATCCCGCGACACGGCGACGTCGTTGTAGTCCTCGAACCAGTCGCGCACGCGGGCGGGCGCGGAGGCCAGCGCCGGCGCCCAGTCCGGCGAGAAGCGGCGGCCGTCCCAGCAGAGCGCGCCGACGACCTCGCGCAGGGCCCGCTCCACCGCGTCGGGCCGCGGCGGCGAGCCCGGCGCCGCGCCGGAGCACGCGAGGGACGCCGGCGCGGGCAGCGGCGGCGGCGCGACGCGCTGGGACCGCCGCGCGTCGGCCGTCGACACGCCCTGCCAGCGGTACCGCAGGCACGCGGCCGCGGCGGCCTCGGACCGGAGCCGCGTCGCGTCCGCGCGCGCGAACGCCGACGCCGGCAGGTCCAGCAGCGCGCCGTGCTGCGCGGCGTCGAACTGTAACCCCGTCCACCAGCGAGGCACGTCGTCGACGCGCGGCAGCGCGTCGTCGTCGAACTCGCCGGGGCGCGCGTTCCGGGCCGCCTCCGCGAAGTCGAAGACGCCCCGCTTGTCCGCCGCCGCGAGCCAGACGCGCGCCAAGACCAACCCGACGGCCAAAGGTGGCGTCTTGCCCGGCGCGCCCGCCCAGAAGCCCCGCGACTCGTCGAGCGCGTCGAGCGCGCCGCGGTAGGCCCGCTCCGCCTGTTGCGGCGCGCACCGCGCCTTGCGCCGCCAGTCCTCCAGGAGCGCCTGCTCGACGCGCGCGTCGCGGCCGAGCATGGCGTCGACGAGGGACGCGGCCAGGCGCCCGTCGACGACGGCCTCGGGGTGCGCGCGGGACCGGTTCGCGACGACGGGCGCGTTGCTCGCGGCGAGGCGGCTCCGGAAGAAGAGGCGCCGCGAGAAGGCCGCGCAGCGCGGCAGCGACTCGTCGCCGAGGCCGCCGTAGAGGTTCGGCAGCAGCGGCGACGCGCAGACCGCCGCGCCGTGGCAGGGGCTACACGCGCCGGGCATCGTCGTCCGCGTGCCCAGGACCGCGCCCCAGTGCTGCGTCTGGAGCCCGCGGCGCGCCGTGCGGCCGTTGGCGGCGTTTTTGAGGTTTATTTCGTGCGACCCGAGGGTCGACCCGCGCCGCGTGGCGCGCCAGAGTGCGGCCATATCCGACGAAGAATTGACGAGATGCGCAGCCAAGCACCTCCTCGGTCCTTGGCTCGTGCCGCCTGATTGAGGAGGTCAGTCCTTGCGGCAATTTTAGCCGCGGCGGAGCTGGGCAAACTCAAGCATGATGGCTCGCGTGGCGCTTGCTCTGCTGTGCGCGCTGGTACCGCTGAACGCCTTCGTGGCACCCGCCGCACGAAAAGCGCACGTCGTCCTCCGCGCCGAGCCCGAGGTGCCCATCCCCCCGAAGCCCGGCAAGTCCATCTCCGCCGCGCAGAAGAGCAAGCTGCTCCAGGAGGCGCAGACGCCCTGGCGCACGGTGCGCACCTTCTTCTACGGCGCCTTCGGCCTCAGCGCGACCGTGGGCGGCATCACGGCGCTCGCGCAGACGGCGGCGAGCGTCGCGGGCCAGCCCGACGCGCTGCCCCTGTCGCAGTGCGGCGTGAACGTGCTCGTCGACGCGGGCGTCGTCGCCGCGTGCCTCTACGGCAACTCGGTCGACAACGGCGAGGCCGCGGACATCACGGTGGCCGACGAGACGGCGCCGCTGGCCGACGACGTCGCCGAGGCCCGCCGGGACGCGGTCGCGAAGCTCCGCGTCGACGTCGGCCTCGGCGACCTGAAGCGGTCCGCGGCGGTGCGGACGCTCCAGCGCGACGCGGGCCAGGCCGTCGTCGTGCTCGGCGGGCCCCGCGCCGCCGTCGACGACGCGCTCCTCGACGCGCTCATCCAGCGCAACGCGTTCGCGCGCGCGGAGTGCGTCGTCGTGCCCGTGCGCTTGGACGACGGCGCCGGCGCCGCGCCGGCGACGAACGCCCTCACGGTCGACGAGGCGCCCTTCGTCGCGCTGCCCAACGCCGACGACGCCGCGGCCTGGCGGTCCTACCTCGAGGACGAGCTCGCGACGGCCGCGGACCAGGGCGCGGACACGTCCGCGGGCGTCGTCGTCGCGCTGAGGCGCGACGGCACCGTGGCGAGCCGCAACGTCGGCAAGCCCCCCTGGCCCCAGCTCATCGCCGCCATCGACGCCAAGGCGGAGGTCGCCGCGAAGTAGGGCCGCTAAGGGGTTCGTCTACGCTTACCTACGCGGCCGCGAGGAGCGCGGCGCGGTCCTCGGCCGGCGGCGGCCGCCGCCGGGCGACGGCGACGCGCCGGCAGCAGAGCTGGACGGGGTCGCTGATCTCGCCGACGAGCCAGTAGACGCAGAGCAGGACGACGGCGAGGCACGCGCTCGGCCCGCGCCGGCTCAGCGTCGGATGCCGCCGGTGCCAGTGCGCGGGCATGATGGACCAGATCGCGAGGTAGATGAGCGACGTCGGTAGCGCGACGACGACGGCGAGGGTCGACGGCCGCCGCTCGATGAGCTGGCAGACCTGGTCGAGCGGGTCGGGCGCGACGTCGACGTATTCGACGTACGTCGGCGGCCCGACGGGCGTCGTCGGCGACGTCGGCGGCGCCGGCGGCGGCGGCGGCGCCGGCGGCGCCGCCTCCTTTTGCATTTGCTTCGCCGCGGCGTGCAAGTCCGCGGCTGGACGGCTCCGGCGGCGCATGCCCGTCGACTCCAACGGCGCGGCCGACGCCATCGGATCTCGACGCTGTGGTTTACCGCACTGATGTCGCTCCAACCGCCCTCGCACAAAGGATTGACGAAACGCTGCCGTGTAAACGACGAAGACCGGCGCCGCAGAGCTGCCCGTTCGGCAAACGCTCTCCCGAGGAGCTGCCCCGCGGCCCCAGATAAAAAAAAACTTCACTTCAAGTTCAAGTTGAGCAGCCCCAAATTGTCCGCTGTTCCGTGCTTTGTCGATGCGTGCATTCTAAGCGGCCACGCGACGATGGACGGGGGCCGGCCGAACCACGAGGACTGGATCTCGGGCCAGGCGAGCGCGCCGGCCCGCGGCGCGCCGAGCATGGAGGAGTCCATGCGGCGGTCCGTGGCCATGCGCGTCGAGCGCGCGCGCATCGTCGAGAAGGCCAACGTCGAGGCGGGGAAGCGCGAGATCGGCGAGGCGCGCAAGGCGAAGCGGCGCGCGTCCCGCGCGTCGCGGGACGAGAAGCCGCGGGAGGACCCGAAGCTCGAGGTGCTGCTCGTGGGCTGCCGCGGTCTGCCGAAGATGGACATGCTGCTCGGCAAGTGCGACGCGTACGTCGTCGTCGCCGTGGGCGACGAGACGCGCAAGTCGAAGACGGTCATCCGGAGCTACAACCCCGTCTTCAACGAGCGCCTCGTCTTCTCCGTGCCGCCCCTCGTCGACAGAGTGGCGCTCACGATCTACGACTACGACATGATCGGGTCCGACGAGCTCGTCGGGAACGTCGAGGAGCCCCTCGTGACGGCCAACGCCCGGGCGAACGAGCTCCTCCGGCGCGACATCGCCCACGCGACGGCGCGGCGCAAGCACGGCAACGGCTGCGTCAAGTTCAAGCTCAGGTGGCTCGAGGCGGACGGCGCCGGCGGCGACGCCGCGCCGGCGCCGGCGGAGCCGCGGCCCAACGCGACGCGCCGGCGGTCCTTCGACGGCGCCGTCGGCGGCCGGCGCGGCTCCGTCGGCGGCGGCCGGCGGCGGTCCGTCGGCGGGCGGAGCCTCGGGTCGCTCGGCGAGAGGCCGCCGGCGCCCGCGGAGGCCCTGCCGGCGCTGCCCAAGTGGCGCTGCCAGCGCTGCGCCTACGACGACAACGACCCGGCGGCGGACACCTGCGAGGCCTGCGAGCTGAGCAAGGACGCGCCGCGCCGCCGGGGGCGCCGGCTCTCGTTCCAGGGCCTCAAGGAGGCGCTCGGCCTCGCGGCGCCGCCGCCCGAGGAGACGTACGCCGCGGCCGGCGGCGAGGGCGGCGCCGCCGCGGCGGCCGCGGCGGCCCCGGCCCCGGCGCCCGCCGCCGCGCCCATGCGCCGGAGCAGCGACATGCTCGAGAAGTTCGCGCGCACAAAAGAGGAGCAAGAGAACGCCGCGAAGCAGGCCGAGACGGACCTCTTCGCGCTCGCCAACGAGGGCTCGGACAAGCGCGAGAAGCGCATCCGCGCCGCGCGGCGGTCCAAGGAGCGCGTCGAGACCGGCCTCGACCCGGACGCCTTCGGCGACGACGTCGTCGACGCCATCGAGGTCAAGAAGGCCAAGATCAAGGCCGGCGCCGCCGCGGGCTGGAAGGCCGCGCGCCGCGCGAGCGCGGGGGCCATCCTCGCCGTCACGAGCCTCGCCGGCGACATCAAGGACGCCGCCTGGAAGGACGACCCCCTCATGTAGGGCTCCGCCGTGTACTGTTCCCCAACCCCGTTTTTTTGTTGCGGACATTGGAAGATCAGGACATCGGACACGTCTCCGCACACCCCGGAGAGCGGTGGAGTTGGTCCGAGTTGGCCAAGTCGGCCATGCGGCGGTCGATGCTCGTGAGCAGGTCGACGATCTTGGTGGTTTGGTCTGTCGTGGCCTTGAGCTGTGCTTCGAGTTGTGTCAGCCGCGCGTCGTGCTCGGCTCGCTCCTCCGAAAATCCTTGCTGCAGCCGCACGAGCTCCTCAAACCGTGCCAGTTGCGCGAGGCCGTTGTCTGCCGCCGAAGCCACCACGTGTCGGTGCTGCTGCTGTTCGTCGAGCATTTGCTCTTGGACCCTCGCCATGTCGTCGACTTTGGCCGTGAGCGTACGCACGCTGTCCGGCGACCTCTGCCGCTCGCGCTCCTGCCGGCGCTGCTCGTCGAGGTTGCGGTCGAGGACCGCTTCCTTTTGGAGTCGGACCAGTTCCTGCACTTGCGCAGCTAAGTCGACGAAGCGTTGGTCAACCGCCGCCGCCCGGAGGCCCGCCGACTCGGAGCCGGTGGTCCCAGTCGGTCTCTTCCGCAGCTCGGCGAGCACTTCCTCCTGGACCCGAAGCAACTTATCAGTCGGACCCTCGACCGTACTGCGACTACAGGCGATACTCATTGGAGTGATGGCAAAGAATTAGAGAATGCCGGGCATACGCTGGGCGGAGTCTTCCAGCGCGCTTCAGCTCCAGCCTCACATAAAAAACGAAGGTTAATTGTCACAATAGATTTTGGAGTATGGCCGCGGCTGCCCCGCGCCGCGCCTTCGCGGCCGTCGCCGTCGCGGTGCTCTGCGCCGTGGCCGCGACGGTCCTCCGACGACGAGCGCGCAACTCCACGACGCTCCTGTGGACGGGATCCGTCCACTCCCTCGCCGGCCTGGGCGGCGGCGCCGCGCCGGCCAAGGCCGCGGACGCGTCGAACCCCTGCATCAGCCGGAGCGAGGGCGCCGTCATGGGCGGCTGCGACGTCATCGCGTACGCGGGCCTCGCGAACGCGAGCAGCGACGGCCGCGCGGCGCCGAACTGCACGCTGGGGCTCGAGGAGTACACCGAAACCTACGCCGGCTTCGCGTTCCGCTTCGCCACCGCGGACCACCAGGCGGCCTTCGCCGCGGACCCGGCGCGCTACGCGCCGGCCTACGGCGGCTTCTGCGGCTACGGCATGTGCTGCGAGGACTGGTGGACGCCGGGCGACATGGAGGCCGACGTGAACCCGAACGTCTGGGTCTACGTCGACGGCCGCCTCCTCTCCTTCCGCGGCCACGAGCCCATGGAGGCGTTCCTCGCCAACAAGTCGGCCAACCTCGCCGCGGCCGACGCGCGATGGGAGGGCTGGGCCGAGACCTACGGCACGCCCGTCTTCAACACGCTCTGCACGCACTACGGATACTAAATTTTTGTTGTTGTGACGATCGCGTCGCAAGCGCGGCGCCGAGGACCCGCGACGGCGGCGGCGGCGGCGTCGCCGCCGCGCTACAAGAAGCGGCCTAAATTAGTACGGCGCGTCCCCCTATTGCTGGTCGACCATGACGAAGTCGCGGTCGTCCTGGAGCTGGAGGTCCTGGAGGGGCACGGCCGTGTAGGAGTTGAGCTCCGTCTCGAGGCCGCGGAGGTAGGCGTCCTGCTCCGTCGCCGCCTGCTCCGTCGCCGCGGCGTCGGGCTCCGCGTCGCCGGCGCCGCCGCCGCCGCCGCCGTCGGGCTCGGGCGCGCGGAGCCCGCGGGACCGCGGCGACGCGCCGCCCGTGCGGCTCCGGGGCCGCGCCGGCGCGCCGGGCTTGGGCGGCGTCGCCGCGTCGGGCCGCGTCGGGTAGAGCGTGTTCTTGTCGAAGAGCACGACGGGCGCCTTCGGCGGCGACGGCTTCGGCGGCGACCGGCCGCTCTTGCGGCCCGGGCGGCACTCTTCGAAGGCGGCCTCGAAGAGCTTGACGCGCGGCAGGTTCGAGTCGATCTCCGCCTCGGGCGGCACGGTGTTCACACCGCACGGCCGCGTCGCGGCCCGCAGCCGCGCGCGGACGACCTTGGCGGCCTCGGCCGCGTCCGTCGCTTTGAGGGCGTCGATGGCCAGCGCGGCGACGCGCCGGGCCTCGCGCAGCGCGCCGGGGCCGTCGGGCCCGCCGAGCGCGCGCGCCGTCGCGTACGACTCCAGCGCCTTCTTGCGGAGGCCGGGCCCGCGCGCGCCGCGCGCCATGACCTCCTGCTGCACGGCCAGGTTGAAGTAGGCCGCGGCGCAGCGCGCCGGGTCCGTCTCCTCGGCCGTGAGGAGGATCGCCGCCTCCGCGAGCTTGAGCGCGCGGTCGTGGTGCCGGAGGTGGCTCAGCACCGCGGTCAGATTCATGCACGTCGTCGCGAGGGAGCCGTCGTTGCCGTCGTGCAGGTTCAACGCCAGGGCCCGCTCGAGGTAGCGCAGCGCCGTGTGCGGGTGGCCGCAGGCCATCGCGTAGACCGCCTGGCTGTTGTCGATCGCCGCCGTCAGTTGCCCGCGCGCGCGCTCCGAGATGGCCTCGTTGCCGTGGACGAGGCGCCGCGCCGTGCGCAGCGACTCCCGGGCGCGCTCCTTGTCGCCGGCGGCGAGGAATTCCTGCGTCTTCGCCCCGAGGCCCGCGACGCTGCTCTCGAGGTCCGGCGTCGTCGGCGTCACGAGCTGGTCCAGGGGCGACGGCAGCCGCGCGTAGCCGCCCTCGACGGGCACGAAGTAGGCCCCGTCCTGGAAGATCATGCCCTCGACGTCCGGGGGCGCCATGCCCTCCATCTCTTACCTTGGCATCAGCGGCCGCCGCATGCCGCCCCGACTTGGGCAGTCGTTTCCGACCATGATGTTTCCGTCAACATTGACAACAATCTGCGGCCGCTCGAGCTCGAGCTCCTACTTGAGCTCCTTCGCCCAATCTAAGTCCCAATCTCGACCCCGAGTACTCCCACCCCGCCCCGCGGACCTCGGGGATTCGTGTGCGGGCTTAGTTGAAGCAGAGGGCCTTGCCCCGGAACTGGCCCCGGAGGCGCGTCGTGTCGGCGAGGGCCATGGCCTTGCGCTTCTTGGTCATGGCGGCCTCGAGGCCCGCGCGGTCGGCGCGCGGCATCTTGATCGCGTCGTCGAGGCCGAGGCGCCCGACGGCGACGCGGCCCCGGAGCGCCGCCGACAGGGACAGCACGGCGCCGAGGATGGCCGCGGGCGACCGCACGCCCGCGTACTTGACGCAGGACCGCTTGAGGCGCTCCGCGTTGTAGACCGCGAACGCCAAGGCGTCGTCCTTGCCCGCGTGGGCCTCGAGCGTCGCGACGCCGAGGCGCGTCGGCTCCGGGCCCAGGGCGTCGAGCGCCGCGAGCGTGTGGCTGCGGCGGTAGGGCGCGAAGAGCGGGGACCGCTTCTTGAGCGCGTCGAAGAGAAAGTCGTCCTCGAGGACGACGTGGCGGAGCACGGACGAGTGCTTCTTCGCGCTGTTGGGGCTCAGGGGCTTCGGGCTCGCGCCGCGGGCGCAGCGCGCCGCGAAGCGCATGGCGCACTGGCGCAGGTCGTCGACGGACAGCAGGCCGCCGGCGACGAGGTCGCGGACGCACGGGTCGCGGCAGAGCTTGTCGAGCGCCGCGCGCGCGGGCGCGGGCTTCTGCGGCCGGGCGCCCGAGCCCCGCGCGGCGTCGGCCGCCTCGTCGAGCTGGGCCTCGCGGCGAATGGCGAAGAGCTCGCGGCCCGCGGCGTCGCAGCGCATCGTCGCCGCGACGTCCGAGCGGTTCGCCGGCGCGCCGAAGGCGAGCAGCGGGTCGCCGGCGCAGGGTCCCGCGAGCTTGGGCGCCCAGAGGTCCGGCGCGGCGGCGACCGCGAAGCCGCCGCGGTGCGTGGCGGCGAGCCGCGCCAGCGACGCCGGGTCGAGCCAGCCGCACGCCTCGCGGAGCAGCACGCGCGGCGCGGCCGCGAGCGCGCCGTTGCAGCTCGCGGTCGCGTCGAGCAGCTCGCGCGCCGGCGGCGTCGACCACTGGCTCGCGCTCGCGTCCGTGCGCTTCCAGTAGTAGCGGCCCACGCGGCTCCGGCTCTCGACGCGCACCCACATTTTCGCGGCGGACATGCTCTGCGGTGGAACTTTTTTGCACGAGGTGGTCTGCTGGGATGTGATAGCAATTGCGATGCAACGATATTGCAATGCAATGGCGTAGACGTGGCGTACGGCGTGCCAACGACGGGTGGATTTTGAGAGACACGACGTTGGTTGCTCAATTTTGGGAGAGCACACTTGAGGCAAATTAGAAATGGCCGGGGGTCTTCATCGACCTCAATTCAAAACAAACGCCGATACAGCCCCGAAAAACGAAAAACGAATGGAACGTCGAAGAGGGGCCCGGTGGACGCCGGGGGAGTCCCGCCCGACGACGTGTGCCCTGCGAGCGTGAGGATCGCGTACCGCAAAATCCAATTTCAAATCACCTCCTTCATCAGACGATCAAGAGCCGCGTGCTCGCCTGCGAAAGGGCGCCGCTTGCGGCCACGAGGGCCGGAAGCCAGCGTAGCCAGAGGCAGTTGAGAGCGCCTGACTGTGGGCACTCGCTTTGAGGCGCGGTGCGACGCGCATAAGCATGTCGACAAAGGTTAACGTTGCAGCTCTTCGGCCTGTTGTCGATGAGCAAATTGGCCTGTATTAGACGCGCCTGCTGAGCTAGAATTTGGCCTGTTCTTAGACGCAACGACGCAACGATGCGCGCACCACCTCTCGTCCTCCTCTGCCTCGCCGGCGTCGCGAGCTTCCAGCCCGCTCACTTTCGAAAGCACGGCAACACGCGGCTGGCGTCGACGGCGGACATCGACCCGGTCAAGTACGACAAGGCCTTAAACGGCATGACGAAATTCAGCAACCAGTACATCAAGCGCACGGGCACTTCCTACTGCTCGGAGCCCTCGGTGCCCGCCTTCGTGATCCGCGGGCTCGCCGAGCACAAGGTGACGCTCGGCGCGCCGCTCTGCCCGTGCCGCCACTACGAGGACAAGGCCGCGGAGGTGAAGAAGGGCTATTGGAACTGCCCCTGCGTGCCCATGCGGGAAGAGAAGAAGTGCCACTGCATGCTCTTCCTCACGGACGACAACGAGTTCGCGGGCGACAGCAAGGAGCTGGCCGTGGACGACGTCCGCCGCCTGACGGAGAGCTAGTAACGCGGTGACCTTGAGCGAGCTACTGCTCCTTTACTCTTGGGGGGGGCGGGGTGGGGGGGTGGGGGGGGTCACAGGGGCGCACATCAGGCGGCCTGGTTCTCCTTGGCCGCGACGCCGGCGAAGGAGACCTTCCGCGCGACGGCGGGGGACTTCCTCGCCGCGGCCGCGGCGCGCTGGGCGCGCGTGAGGGGCCGCTTCGCCGGCTCGGGGCTCGGCGCGGCGAGCGCGGCGTTGTTCGCGTCGCGCTCCGCGCGGAGCGCGGCGAGCTGCTCCTGGACGGTGGGCCCCATCTTGGGCGGCGGCACGTAGGTGTCGAGGGTCACGGTGAGGTCCGCGGCCTCGTCGTCGTGGAGCGCGAAGCCGTGCTCGGAGACGGGCGTCGACGGCGGCGGCGCGGGCGACCGGGGCTTGCGCGCGGACGCGACGTACGGCGTCCGGCCGAGCTCCGCGCGCGCGACGGAGGCCTCGAGGCGCGTGATGTCGAACTTGGCGTCCGTGAGCTCGACCTTGAGCTTGTCGACGGCGCACTTGGCGTCGTGCGCGTCGCGCTCGGAGACGGCCGCGGCCATCGTCTTCTCCTGGAGCCGCGCCTCGAGGCTCTGGACCTTGGACGCGTAGAGCCGGAGCTGGTCGTGGTCGGCGAGGCCCGCGGCCGCGGCCTCCTCGGCGAGCTTGCCGTTGAGGGTCCGGCTCAGGCCCTCGTACTCCTTGCGGAGCTTCTCGAACGCGGCCTCGAGCGTCTTGTTCGACCGGTCGCCGCCGCCGCCCGGCGAGTCGCGGCTCGCCTGGAGGAACTTCTTCTCGCGCTCGAGCTTGTTGATCTGGGCCGTCGCCGCGTTGAGCTGCATGTCCTTCTGCTTGAGGTACTGCTTGCCGTAGGCGATCTGCGACTCGAGCGTCGACATCGCCGCGCGGCTCGCGGCCTTCTCGTCGTCGACGGCCGCGGCGAGCGCGGCCTTCTCCGCCACCCAGGCCTCGGCGGCCTCGGCGGCGGCGGACCCGACGGCGCGCCGCTCGCGGTCCGCGGCGTCGGCGAGCGCCGCGTCGAGCGCCGCGCGCGCGGACTCGACGTCGCGCGCGCGCGCGGCCTCGAGCGCGGCCTCGAGCGCGGACCGCTCCTCGAGGAGCGCCGCCTGGCGCTCGACCTCGCGCGCCGCCGCGTCGCCCCGCGCGGCCTCGGCGCTCCGCTCCGCGAGGTCGCGCTCGAGCGCGTCGCGGTCGCGCGCGGCCGACGCCTCGGCCGCGGCGACGCGCGCGTCCGCGTCGCGGCGCCAGTCGGCCTCGCGGTCCGCGAGCTCGCCGTCGAACTTGGCCGCCTGGAGCTCGAGCTGGGCCGCGAGGCCCTCGGCGCCCGCGCGCTGCGCCTTGGCGACGTCGTCGGCCGCCGCGAGGCGCTCGCGCATGACGGCCTGCTCGAGCGCGGCCTCGTGGTCCGACGCGATGGCCGCGAGGGCGCCCGCGTGGGCCGACGCGAGCGACTCGAGGGCCTGCTTCTTGCCGTCGTCGAGGCGGCTCCGCTCGGCGTCCGCGGCGAGCG